CCTCACACTGAAAATATGAGAAAAAATCTAACCTTTATCTTAAGTACATTTATTTATTAATTTGCTTGATTATTAAACTACATTATCTTATTTATGCAACCTCCTAATAATGCTCCTGTATAATACTCTATGCTAATGGAGAATACTGAGCAAGGAATCTGTGAGCACTCCTCAGTACAGTATCTCCCCATATCCTCTGGGGTCTAGGTTGTCTTTTATGGACTCTCCTCTTCAGCTTACCCTACAGGTTTTTCAGTGGGGTTTAGATGAGGGGACTGAGATGACTTGGTCAAAAGCTTGATTCTGTTGTCATGTTTTGGATCAGGGTTTGTCCAATCTTATCCGCAAAGAGCCGGATTTGCTGCAGGTTTTCATTCCAAACAGACAGGATTCCACCTGATTGCACTTGTTTAAACAGTTGGTCTCACTCTTCAAACAGCTGATCACATGAGCTCCTGCTTTGTTGGAATGAAAACCTGCAGCTGCATCAACACTTTGTGGATAAGACTGGACACTTTTGATTTGGATCACTGTCCTGCTAAGAAGATCCAAGCACAACCCAGTTTTAGCTTTTTGGCAGAGACAGACAGATTTTCATTTAAAATGTGCTGGTATTTCAAGGAGTGCTTGATGCCATGCTTCCTAACAAGATTCCCACAGGCTTTGGAGGAAAAACAGCCCCAAAACATCACAGATCCTCCACCATGCTTAACAGTAGGGATGAGGTCCTTTTCTGTATAACCATCCTTCTTTGTACACCTTGAGTGTTTGTTGCCAGAAAGCTTTATTTTCGTCTCATTACCATTAGTCCAGTCAAAGACTCAGCAGTGTCTAGTTAAACTCCAAGTGATTGCATTTCTGCTTGGATGAAAAAAGGCTTTTTTTCTGGCATGCAAATAGTTTGTTGGACATGGTATCTAATTGTAGTTTTGGGAACTAAGATGCTGTCCATCTTCAATCGTAATCCTTACACTAAATATATTTCAATTAAAATTTAGATTTTTTCTCAGATTTTCAGTGTAAGGTTCAGCTAATTAACCACAAAGACATTTTTATGACCTTTTCACCCACCTTTATCAAGGGTGCCAGTAATTATGCAGCTCACTGTGTGTGGCTTCCATGTGTTGCAGCAGAGAAAACACTGCAGTGTGCAGTGAAGGGGTGTCTTGAGGACCAGGACAGGGAAACACTGCATTAGGGAGAGTGAAATGGCCCCATCTACTGAGAGGCAAGATCTACTAAGAGAGACAAATTAAGCCAGATCGGTTATGAATAATAAACCTTGGTATGTAATAAGCCTTGGATTTTAAGGGATTAAATGAATATTTCAACATTTTACCTAATCCTCATCCGCTGTGTCTGTAGTGTATGGTGTAGTAATAATTCCAGTGCTTCTTCCAGTGTGTAGTATTAAAAAAAAAGAAAACGTATTATCTCTAAACAGTCTTAAAAATGAAAGTGCCACTAGAATCCACTTACAAGAATGTATGATGGTGTTGTTTGTGACTAAACAGCTGCTAATGTGGTGAAAATCTGGGCATATAAACTAAGAGGGCACTGAAGATGATCAAAAACACTACTGAATAGACTGAGTATGAAATGACTCTAAATCATTTAGATTTAATTTAACCACTGTGGAAAAGAAAAGTTATTTCAGTTGTTTGGCTTTTCTTCTCCTCACATAGAAACATCTCCCTAAAACATGTAACAGTGCATTATTTATTATCTATTAATTATAGAGCAGGACAAAATGTTTAAAAAATGCACTCTTCTTTGGAGCAATCTCAATTAAGGATGCAGCAGAATGTATAAAGGAATTGCTCTGAGACACTGTATTACTCAGTTTTAGAAAGATTGCCAGTGCACATCTGCAGGGTTTTTACAAGGACAATCTGCTTTAGATTCATTTATTGGTGATGAGATGAGATTTGAAGCCCTTGCATGATGATTTAGCATTGCTAATTGCATCATGTTATTTTGGGGCTTTTGACTTTCACATCCTATTAGCAATGTCAGCCTTGTGACTGTGGTGGAAAACTACAGAGACAAAGTCTCTCATTTTAAATCATGGCTTGATTTTCTAACCACATTCAAACTATTTCTTTATAACTGTGGTGCAGAATGAGGAAGATGACTAGAAGGAGAAGGATGGAAAAACTGCACTGGACATCTGAGCATGATGACTTCCACTAAGGGTTTTTGTTTTCTTGTTGATGTGCAGCACGTACAGCTGTAAGAAAAAATGGTAACACAATTTAATGGCTACTGAAAGGCACTTCATGACACATGAATGAACACTGATTAATGTTTAGAAAGCACTATGTGAATTCTGCTAAGTTATTGCCAGTATTTTCAACATGACATAAGATGTTTTATGAAGTAAATGACATTGTAAACATGTGTACAAGGGCCCTTATACTAAAGTGACATATCATTCCCAAGTAATAGGCCAAGTTAAAAATACATTAATTATTTTGTAAAGCCTATGTCATCTTGCCCATGTGAACCATATGGTAGCACATAGTGAATCTGAAATGCTCAATTTTTGCTTTGTAAATATGTTGTTTAATGCATGAACTGCCTATGTAGGTAGCCTGTAAATAAAACGTTATCACAAAATATACATTCATATGCAAAATCTTGAACAACCCCAGTTGGCATGTTTTGTTAAATTTCTAAGTGAAAAACTCAGCAAATAAGTAGAAATTATGCACTAAAATTAGCAAAATATATATATTTGTTCTATGTAGAGAATGTGTGAAGTTTTCCCTATATAGGAAATCAACAAAACATGTCATTTGACCAGAGGTGCTTTGCCCTGTTTTTCCAACTGTGTATATGAACCCTGAGGAATAACTTCAAAAACTGTCATCTGATCTTAATCATAATAATAGCAATTAATAGCAAGCTAATAATAAAGAACCACAGTCTCATTTCACTACTGGCTTTTTATGATGAGTTATTAATCTTAAGATTTATTAATCAGTAATTACTTAAATTATTCAGACATTTCTTTGACACTAATACAAAGGTTTAGAGAGTGAATCATTGAAGTGTGCTTCCATAGATGGACCATTAATGCATGCAACATTTTGCAGTGTCATACCTTTATGGAACAAATGGGGCTACAGCCACAACTGTTCCCTCTTTTACACTCTCTTTATAACACACACACACACACACACACACACACACACACACACACACACACACACATAAATAGACAGCTGCATTCTGGTTCTATATATAGACGTGTAGGGTGTCTGATATCCAGCATAAAGATAGTGCTGGGTACAGCTAACTCTCTAAGCTCATGTTTGTTTTGGTCAGTAGAGCAGAGAATTATACTGTAAGTATGCATTACTATACATGTTGTCACTGTCATCTCAAAATCTTTACAAATTATTTCACTTTTTTACACAGCATTGTTGAATATAAAGGTACCAAAAAGAGTTCTGTATGGAACAATCTCACAAATGAGAGAATTTTATTCTAAAGTATCTTTCAATGGAGGGATAAAAGCTTCCACACAATGTAAGTTTGTATACCTTTTAAAGGTTTTTGCTCTGGAAATGTGTGTCCAACCCAAAAACCATTCAAAAACTTTTAAGAGTATTTGTATCATTTTGTAAAACACCAGCTGCCTTTATACTGTATGTACAATTCATGTTAAATGAACCACTAGAAATTGTCCCTTCTCCTATAAGTTTACCATTTCTGAAATATGGGGTTTTGTTATGACAGCAACAATACATTGCTGGAGGGTGGAAGTCTGTACCATTTTGTAGGGTCAAACTGAAGTTTAGGGACTGTGGTAGAATTTTAAGACCAATGTAAATCAGGCATTACTCCGCTGAGGATACAGACTGAGGGAGGTGAGATGTTTTTTCTGTGAAATGTAGGTCATATTTTCACACTGCTGGGCCTGGAGCAAACGCTTGTCCTCATTCTCTCACTCAGGTGAGCTTTCCCTTCCAACCCAGAGCACCGCAAAGTCACCTTCCCCTGCCAGGTAGCCCAGGAGGAACCTTAGCAGCTATTTTAGACCAGAAAGAGAACCACTGTCTATTAGAGGGCAAAGATACTGATTTATCTCTCAGAGAGGACTGAACCAGTGTCACTGCACACACACACACACACACACACACACACACACAGAGCACTTCACGCCTCATTCAACAAAGAGTTTTTCACCAGAGGAGTCCTTCTATTCCCTCCTAATGCTAATAGCTTTAGAGGAAAGTGGGCAGATTCAGGTAATGAGGGACAACTTAAGAAACTCTTGCTTATTCTAATTTCCACTAATATTTACTTGTGCATTCTTTCTAAATGAACAACTTTCAAATATACAGTACTGCTCAAAAGTCTTAGGCAGCCTAAAAAATGGTTTAAACTATTTATGCTGGCAGTAAGTGTGTATTTGCCAGATTTTTACTAGACTTCTTCAGGAAGAGGTTTGGAAATGTTGGGCTAATACATTGACACATCACGTTGTATTGTTTACTTGTTAATTTGTATTTATTCTAATGTTAGGACAAATAAATACTGTCCAGATAAATGGCTTTACATAACAGTTTCCCAGCTGCTTAAGTTTTTGCTCAGAACTGTGTTTTAGTGGGAATTAGTTTACTGACATTATTAGAGGTCCCATAACACAACATAATCACTTTTAAAAATAGAGGCACCAAGTCTTCTTTGGGGTGACGCCACAGGAGAACCACTTTTGGTTCCCAAAAGAACTTTTCAGCTCTTTGAAACCGCACAACTGAAACATTCTACGGGGAACCAAAGGTGCTTATCCTATGTTATCACTCCAAAAGCTCTGTTTGGTACCTTTGTTTTTAAGAGTGTATCATTTAAAGCCATTCTTGTGATACCAGATCCCGACCAAGCGACAGTAACAGTGTCATTTTCTCTATAAAGCACTTACAGCTTCACTGCTTACTTGTCGGACAGCAGGACCTCGCAGACGACGCTGCCACCACGCGGATCATATTTTAGGGCGCAGATCAGAATCAGACTGTGACATTTTCGGACACAAGACGAGCAGTTCCTCCAGCACAGCCTTTGCTCTTTCTGAGGACGAAACGGACTCTAACGCCTTATCTCTGGACAGAATGTGATTACTGCGCTGGTCTTCCGTATTCAGTCCGGATCACTCGTGGAGATTATTTTTCTGACCATGGATCCTCCGTCTCTCTCGGGAAGCGCTAACTACTCCGTGAGCGACCACCCTCTGTGCTCAGAGTGGCAGGAAGCCCCTGAGGGCGCCGTATTCCACCTGGCGCACATCCTGCTGGTGCTGGGCTTCATGGGCGGCAGTGGTTTTTACGGTCTGCTCTACATGTTCAGTTTCCTGGCGCTGGGCTTCCTGTGCTGCTCTCTGCACGCCTGGTCGGAGCCGTGCGCCCCGGACGCCTCCGCGTGGCCCTGCGCGCTCTCCGTGCTGTGCGTGGCGCAGGCGCTGCACGTGGCGCACCGCGCGCGCAGCGTGGCTTTCGGCGGAGAGCTGCAGGAGCTGTACGCGCGCATGTTCAGGAAGCTGGGGGTCTCCCTCACACACTACGGAGAGATAGTGGCGTGCTGCGAGGGTCAGATCCAAACCATGGAGAAAGACCACTTCTTCGCCATCGAGGGCAAAACTCCCATCGATAAACTGTCTGTGCTCCTGTCAGGCAGGTGAGTTTGGACCACTGCTACTCAAAGAAAGCAGAGTGTGGAAGAGGCCAGTCACACAGCAAATGTCCACTTATAGAGGTCATTCGTAAATAAACTGACAGCGGTAGGTGTTTATTTAATACTGTACTTGTTCATGTAACATTGTAGTTGTTTAGCACTAAACACTGGGGACTTTTCTATGTAGAAAAACTTAAAGTAAACGTCTTCTTAGTCTTGATATTTAAATGAAATACTGACTCTGGTGGAAGTAAAAGTACACACTTAAAAAGATGGTTCTTCCAGGGTTTTTAGTAAAGAACTGGTCTACTCATGGTTCTACAAAGAACCATTCTCTTTATCAAAGAACCATTTTCTGTAAGAGTGTAACTTCCAAACTACTTAAGTAGTACCAGAAAAGTATCAACAAACACCTCACACACTTAAAAAGCAAGATTCCTCAGTAGTTCTTGGCTTGTGCACGTTTATAGGAAAAAAGATAACAATATGTATTATTGGAGGTTAATATGGATTATATGGTTCTTTAAACTTTAAGAAAGTTCTTCCAACTCAGGTAGCTCATTCACAACAATAGATTTCTGAACCATCCATTCAGTTCTGGAGAACCCAAAGTGTTTTTTGTACATTTAAGAGCGCTAATCCATCTATTTTAAGAATGTAGCCTGTGACTTACCTGTACAACTTAAGTGGTGTCTTGAGAACATCTCAGTACATTGAGCATCTGAAATCATAAGGCTCTATGTTTGTTAGATGCTGTTTTTCTCTTTTGTGACACATTTGTGTCTGAAACAAAATGCTGAAGCTCGAAAATGAGAACTGTGCGGAAGACTAAAAGAGTCCAACTGCTGAACCAACATAAGAAAATGAAATGAAACACAGTATAATCATTTTTGAAAAGAAAAGTAAAGTGCAGCTTCATTGGAATGTTACTTAAGCCCTCTGTGGTGTTCACTTAGTGGGTCTGATGGACCCACTGCATTATTGTTTTCTTTAAATCAAAACAGCCGTAACAATTAAGTGGCCAGCATAGGGTTCTCCTTTAGCCTCTGTAGCCAGTCAGCAGCCTGTCCATGTTGTCCACCCTCACACACACCCACACATATACAAACACATACACACACAGCCACACGTGCACTAACAGCAGACCATGTAGGAGAAGAACAGAGTGAAGGAACACATCAACTCCACACTTCTATTCCCACGGGTTCACCCCAACACCACATGTGATATAAAAGTGTAGGGGATTTACAGTGTGAATTCATTGAAAATGTGTTATTTTATATGTTCTTCACAGAAAATGAGCAAAGACCAAGGAATCTGGGGTTGAAATAATAATAAATTACATCTTTTTTTTTCTGTTTGGTACATTTGGTACATACATTGAATGGGTCCCACAGACCTGAACAACACACAAGGGTTAAGTTCATGGAGCCAAGTAAAGCAGTGATAGTAATCAAAGCTGTCCAGTATAAAATGAGACTGTAAGTAGTTCTAACCCTCTCTGATATCTCTTTCCCAGAGTGCGGGTGTCAGTGAACGGGGAGTTTCTACACTACATCCACCCCTTCCAGTTCCTGGATTCTCCAGAGTGGGATTCCCTCAGACCCTCAGAGGAGGGAGTGTTTCAGGTCTGCTGCCAGCAGCGTTTTCACTCTTACATACTTTGTAACCTCTCATGCTGGACGCCAAAGATCAGCTTTTTCTTCTTTTCTGTTTTGCAGGTGACGCTGAGAGCGGACAGTCGGTGTAGGTATGTGACGTGGAGGCGTAAGAAGTTGTATCTGCTCTTTGCTCAGCATCGCTACATCGCACGGATCTTTGCACTGCTGGTGCGCAACGACATCGCGGACAAGCTTTTCTCTCTGAACACAGCGGCGCTGGACGGGCGAGGCTTCAGATACGATCTCCGCTTACCCAGCTTCTGCCACGGGCCACATTTAGAAAGGACAGGTGCTGTTCCCCCTCCGCGCCCGAGCAGGAACAGGAACAAGAGTGTCATCACCAAGCCAGTGGACAGCAAGTCTTAAAAAGCCTGGTACTTTGGTACTTAATGGTCCTTATTTACTTAAATTGTGTTTTCATATTGTTATTTCAAGGTGTTAAATGTTCAATTCGTTTATTCTGATCCAACAAACATGAACAGTTTTTTGGACTCATTTCCAGGGTGAAATAAATTTGTCTAAAGTTGTCATTATGCACATTGTCTTAGTACCTGTTAAAGATAAATGTCTATATTTGTGTAGCTCCTGCCCTTACAGATCTGTTACATCCCAAATAAACGTGCTTTTGTAGTCTTTTATGCTGCTCCTGTCTTCATTACGTGAACGTTATTGTTCTGCGAGATTTCAGATCATCCACGTTTACAGTTGCTGACCGTGGTGCCGATTCTCAATTGTAGCACTTCCAACCCAAATTAAGCCAAACCCAGCAGCACCAACACATTCCTAATGATCAGCACCTAGTGGTCTTTTAATCTTTTGGTACACCACCCTGTAACAATGTCTCAAATTGACCCCTTGTTCAGTTGGACACGTAGTATTAATTGTCCCATATATTACATTTGGATTGTCTGCTCATAACATTCCATAGAATTAAACAGGCTTTTGTTGTCTTTAATGTGTTAATGTTAAGACTGAGCTTTAATGTGCCTTTAAGACTTTAAGCTCTGTTCTGGTTGGCTGTCCTGTATTTTGCTTCATTTAAAAAGTACTCAGGGCTGAAGTATTCCTTTTGACTTCAGTATAAATGGGAGGAGCTAAACCATGGTGGATATATGTCAATGAGTTGTTTCTTCTGACATCACAGCAAGAATAAATTAAAAACAGGTTGATTTTGCAACATAGTTTCTATATATGGGCTGTTTGGACTGGAGTGAGTGGTACTGTAGCATTCAAGGATGTTTACATGTTAGTTTTAGGTTGTGAGGGTTCATTTTGTTAAGGACTTTTATTGTAGGGGGCAGTGCTTGGAGCAGCCCCTGTGGGTGCATAAACTGAGACAGTAAGAGACCAGGAGATGAAGCTGGATAGGGAACAAGCTGTTGGAAAAAAGAAAACTCTGCGTACGTACGGCATAGCTGTGGCCGGCAACAGCTGGATAATAAAGCACCAAGACTTGTGTGAAAGCTGTATCTCTTTTAATGGCCATGCACACTACAGTATGTTTTGAAACTTTGACAATGTTATTATTTGAAACTCCTTTAATTTAAAAAAAGCGAGTGAAATTTGTTTTACTGTGATATGGGCCCTTTAAACCAACTGACCAATCATCCCCTAATGACATTCTGTAGTGAGGCTTTAGAGGACAAGTATGTGCTCTAATGATTAGTGCATCACAGATTGCAATGCAAATTAAAGAAAGAGTTCAGTAAAAAGATTTACACAGTTTTCGTTAAATACATCCACAAAACGTCTCTGAACTCAACCTACATGCAGGTCTTCATTAAGGTCACACAGACTTGTAAGTGGTATAGGCCACAGTGTATGATTTGCTGTGAACTACAAGTAATAAACAAAACATCTCTGTGTAGCTGAACACAGCGGGCAGCTGTTTTAGACAACAGCTGTTTTCAGGAGGTATTTGTGGAAAATATTTGGGTGACTATTGACTTCTAGTGTTTGATAGCAACATTAGCCTCATAGGTCTCGCAATAATCTTAGGAAGGAAAATTTGGACACCAGACATTGGCTGATTGACTACATCTGGGGTAAGTGGAAAACTGTGTAAATTTGATTTTGGTGAACCATTCCTTTCAACCAATCCACAGAGTTGTAATTCAAGATGGTGACCAGATCTTCAGCTGCCTCCAACATTAATAAGTATTAACTGGTTAACTTAAGCCCAAAGCTCCCTGAGATTCACTCCTTTTGATCAGTAGAGTAGGCTAATTCACAGCGTGGGGGACGAGGTGCAAAGACAACCAGTACTAACAAAAGAAAATACGATGAGTTAGATTTATATAACACTAATTACATGAACTGATAGTGTACACAATGCACTACTTTGGGGGTCTGCAATTTGTAGTGGTGTCAGAAAACACCACAATAAGTAGTGTACAATCAATTTACCCTACCAGATAGGGGTACCCATAATGCACTGTGTTGTTTGGTTTGAAGAATCAATCGCAACTTTTCTGAGTAGGATTAGCGGCCCAGCTGCAACTGCAGCATCTCCACAGAGCTCTCCTCAGACCTGTTACAGATGTAAGTAAGCTCTACTGATGTCAGACTCAGCCATTATAGTTAATGGACTGGTGGCATGACATTTATAGTGTTTATGCGGGAGAATCTGCTGTTGCACAGTAATGAGCGAACCTGTATGAGGTAGTGTCCGAAATCTTTTACTATCATCATGAATTCTGTTCCCTATAATAGTTAAATAATAGAACACGAGAAGCATTGTGTTATCATGAATAACATCACAGCTACCCAGATAGCAGACAGTTCTGGGCTGATTCTGGCTCACATCCACGAGTGTTGGTTGACTTCCGGATAGATATCAGGCATGTGGGCCACAACTGGGCCAGATGCTGGACAGTTGTGTAAGGTTTTGACTCATATTTACATTTAAGGGCCAATTCTGGAATGAGTGTTGTGGCCCAACAATGTGGTTGATGGAAAAGGGCCACAGCACAATTAAGTTGCGGCAGATTCGTGCTTGGTTGATTTACACCTCAGTAATTTTGGCACATGTGACCAACTAGAATAGCAGACCGTTCTGGGCCAATTCTGGCTTACATACGCGAGTGTTGTTTGACTTCAGGATGGATATTAGGCATGTGGGAATTGGGCCTGGTGTTGGACAGCTGTGTATGGTTTTAACTCATATCTACTTTTAAGGGCCATTTATGGCATAGATGTTGTGGCCCAACAGTGTGGATAAAGGAAGAGAGCCACACCTTAATGCTGTGGCAGACCAATGCTCGTTGATTTGCGTCTCAGAACTTTTGGCCCAAGTCTGGCATATCATAAGTGGCCCATTACTGAAGTTACAGGAAACATCCTCATTTAGCAAATTCTTCCGCCCAAGTTTATCCTTTTCAAATGGACAAGCCAGCTGCCAGGTTTGAAGAGAAGCCAAATTCTCTTTAAGAAGACAAAGGACATTACGAGGGTAAGTAATATACTTTAAAATCACATGTACATACATTAACATGATTTGTGATGTGTAAGTTTAGTTCAGTGAGATTAACTATTTCGATTATTGTTCCAGTATGGAAAATGAAAAGTTATAACTATGGCTAATAATGCCGTTTTGGCATAACACTGGAAAAGCACAGGCTAGCTAGATTAATGAAATGGTTTATGAAATCAGTTCATGGTTTAGTTACGTTATCCTTCGTTATGCGTTATGTTCAGAGTAGTTAAATAGCTCGCGGTTAGCGGGTTAGCTTGGAGCTAACGCGTTAACTGCGTTAACCCAAGCTAAAGCGCTAGCTCCGAGCTAAATTGCTAACCGCGAGCTAACGTTAGCGAACTACCCTGAGCATTCAAAGGAATAGCCAGAGCCGGATTATTAACTCTAAAAGTTCTCTGAAGTAGCCGGTGCTTTTCACGTGTTATGCCATAATGGTGTAGCATGTTAATTCGCAGTTAGCACGTTAGCTCGGAGCTAGCACGTTGTCTTGACAGCAGTGTCAAGTCCTCTCATCTGCACACATCACCCTTCTGTGTAAGTCAGTAGAACTAGAAGAAAACCATATCAGGCAACGGCGTCCCAGCGGAGTGATACAGTGAAACGTGATGTTATGGCGAAATAACAGGTCGGTTAGAACGCCGCTCAACCAATCAGCTTGCGTGGCCGGAACTAACTGTTGTATAATGCTTGATAAAAACTCGCCAGATACAATATTACAGGGTTCATTGTCAGGGGTGCTTTACATTAGTTCAACCTGTAAGTAGTTTATTATTGATTATGGGTTTTTTAATGTTTGTTAGAACAAAACCTTTTTTGTTTATCACAGATCTTGCAGTTGTGGAGTTCCTGAATCATTATTCAGTTTCTAAACCCTCTGTTCCAGACGACCTGTTATTGGGGTTCTGTGACTGCTTACAGTGGAACAACTTCCAAAGTGACAGAGCACATAACTGTCATTATCTAGTATTTTAAATACAGCTTTGAACAACAAATCACTTCAAACTTAGATTATTTCTTGTATATATATATATATATATATATGTATATATATATATATATATATATATGTATGTATATATATATATATAGGTTATGTAATTAACAAAAAACATACATTGCTTGTTTTATCTTGTGTATTCACTAGCCGTATGAGGTTAATATACAACAGACCAAAACACTTCTGTTTTGTGTGTTTGCTTTTGTGCATCAGTATTTTTTTTATTTTGAAAATGTTCATAATTGTGATACACAATAAACAATCTGAATACATTCTAAATGTTTTTGCTTTTTGTTTTGTTTAAGGGATTCTGCACTGGTAAAAAAGAATGCAAAACAAAGCAAAATGATCATAACATCCCCACATAAGCTCATGATGGAACTGGTTTCTAAGCCCACCTCTTACTGAACTGGGATCCAATGCAAATCTCAAAACAGGCCCTTGTATAACATAATATAGAATAAAATCATGCATTTAAAATCATTAGTGACACAGCAGATTATCCAGTTTTGTAATTGTGTACTAAAAAAACCTTTAGTAATTATTGCATACAGAATCAGAAAAAGTAGCTGTCAGATTTAGCCTCTATTTCAGTGGCCTCTCCACTTGGCTCAAGAATTTTTTATCCACCATGGTTTAAAATTAATGCAGAAATATTGTGAGAAATGTATTTATGAATGTGGAAAACATTATATTCTTTGATACAAGGCAGATGGTCTGCGTAACGACCAGCAGTATATGTCCTTGAAGATGTACACACAAAGACTGCAGATAATGACTGCAGATAATGTCACAAAGGTCAAGATTTCTGTTTTTATTTATTTAACCAAAATCAACATAGAGTTTTCATTCTGAAATGGCTTTTCTCAAAATGTATCGATTATTAGGAATAATTAATAACATTTTGCATGTTCTGCAATAGGGGCCACTTCTGGGCCAGGGACCAAGGTGGGTAGTCAGTCGTAACTGTGTGCCATATATGAACCAGATCTGGCCCACACCTTTTAAATATGCTCACTTTACAGTGTGTGGGCCAGATCTGGACCACAGCCATTAAACTTACACACATTACAGTACATTGGCCAGAGCTGGGCCTGATCCCTAGGTTCTACTCACTTTACAGTATGTGGGCCAGATCTGGGCCACATCTGTTAGTTCTACTCACTTTACAGGATATGGGCCAGAGCTGGGCCACATCCATTAGTTGTACTAATTTTATAGTGTGTGGGCCTCATCTGGGCCGCATCCATTAGTTATTCTCGTTTTACAGTATATGGGCCAGATCTGGCCCGGGGACCCAGCCAGAATTGGGCCAGAACTCAACCAAGGGTGTGGCCCACAAGTGGGTAAGATAAATTTAGCTAACTGGGTATGATTTGCTTGAATTTCATACAGAATATGCTTTAATACCGACAATACCTTCCGCCAAAAGTAATTCCACAACAAATGAGTTGTCGATATGTAACGGTAACAATGCCTTAGCCTGTTGAGGCTTGTGCACAGTCCAAGATAACTGCTGATACTATATTGTTTTAGTCAAGACCACTAGAACCAAGTCCAAGTAAAGACCGAGACCAGGACACATCGAGTCTGAGTTAAGACCAAGACTTTTAGTAGTCGAGTCCGAGTCAAGACCAAGACTTTTAGTAGTCGAGTCCGAGTCAAGACCAAGACTTTTAGTAGCCAAGACCGAGACAAGACCAAGACCAGATTTTTAAAAAAATAAACAAATGAAATGTCATTAATTGTACATTCATTATCATTAATTATACATTATATACTGATACACAATATTATTTATAATATACTTTGCAAAATATAACATTAAATAATATGTAGCCTAAAACATTAGTAATTGTTGTTGTTGTAGTCTAAGTCAAGCTTTGCTTTGTAACTGGGTGCAGTGGTGAGGCTGTTCTCTGTTCCTTTCTTCTCAAAAAGTTATGCAGAATCAACACCTAAAGTCAAATGAACATAAACTACATCCATTTATTGATTAAATGAAAACATAATAATATAATATTCTGTAACTATGACTGCTGTGGGGAGAAGTTAATATTACAGAGCCATAGGACTGTTGTAGGGAGAAGTTATTAATATTACATGCCTACATAAAATAATCAAAATAGCTACAATTAATGATGTTCTATCTACAGATTTGTAAACAATGTAATGAGCAGTCAATTTCAGCTATCAATAACATTATTATTCTTTTAATGCTGGTAATATTTTCCGATAAGGAGTTTCACCTTAAATGGTGCCTGAACGCCTCAGTGGCCTAAGGCACCAGAATGGAACTGCTGTACTGCCGCATTTAAGGTGGAGGTTTTGAGAAAGGTGGACGATTTGAACAAAAAGCTGGCGAATAAGAAGCCTTGTGTGATTTAAGCTATCAAAATTGCTACCTACCTACAGTGTTAAGTAGAGCTCTGTCTATAAATATGCGCTACGATCGGACATTTTCACAAAGTAGAACAATTAACGCTACCGGTTAGTGCTGACCTTTTTACAGCCGAGTGATGAGCTAAACTGTATATATAACTTTCGTTACTAAGTTCACCGTTAAAATTTTAAAAAATTAAAAAACATTTAAAAAACAAAAAACGATTGCTTACAGTGTCATCTGCACACAACGGGTGATAGAATAAAGAAATTGGTCTTTGTCACTACTAGTTTTAAACGGAGTTTAAAACTTGCAGATTCGTTTGTTTTCCAGCTCTGGCTGCCACTGTCTGTATCTTAGCAACGCGTCAGCGCGTGCGTATCAGAGGAGCAGCGCGAGAAGCGCCGTAGAGCGGAGAGTTTAGCATGGTTCCTTTTTCTCCAGTAAACGGGTTTTGGGCTACGGAGCCCCTAAGGGGCCGGAGTTAAAAAAATAAATAAATAAAGTTAATGACATTGCGTTCCCTTGTAAATGTTTTGCGTTCCCTCGCAAATGTTTTGCATTACGATGCAAACGGTTTGCAATCGCTTGCATAAGCTGTGCTTTGCTTAAGCTCAGAGATGGAGCAGCTCATTGAATTTACGTTGATCCTGGATTGAAATATAAAGACATAGCGTCGCTTCTCAAAATCAAACATGATTATGCTATTAGTGAGCGCAAACTGAAACTGAGATTGAGTGTCCTTGTACAGTAAAAGCTACATTTACAGAGATTGCAGAGAACAATTGCTTAATAAACTCAGAATAGACTGACAAAGCTGGGAAAACAGCTTTTAACGTTAGCTATGCTAAAAACAAAGCTCTAATATAGGCAATGTCGTTGGGCACCTCTGGTCCTACGTTTGCTTGCTATCTGACAAGCATATCGCGAGGGAAAGCAAAACATTTGCGAGGGAACGCAATGTCATTAACTCTAGGGGCTCAGTAATGGGCAGCAGGGGCCGTATAACAGAAACTTCCTATCTTTTTGTCTTAGCTTAAGGTCTGAAAGGTCAAGATAAGATTTTTCATGAATTCATATTACAGAAGCAAATCTTATCTTCATTTAAGAATCTTATCTTATCTTACAGCTTCTTATCTCAAGTTAGGAAATCTTAACTTACTCGATCGAACTCGACAATAAACTGTCATGTCTGTTACCTAGCAACCGACCATACGCACACAGCTGAAACGTAAACACGTAATCAAGTTAGTTAGCCAGACAGCAAACGTTAAATGTAAAAAGGTCACATAAAACTAAGGTGCGATAAACAGTTAAGAATATTGTGACAGCGCGTCGTGCTGTTTATCAGAGGATCGCCACTCTCAAGATTCAGTTTCATTTTCCAAATGCTTTGGCCGGCCGTGCTAACGTTACTCCTCCTAATAAACCGACATACGTTCAACTCTGTCTCTTCATTATTTACTACCATCACTGTAATATTGTATCTGGCGAGTTTTTATCAAGCATTATACAACAGTTAGTTCCGGCCACGCAAGCTGATTGGTTGAGCGGCGTTCTAACCGACCTGTTATTTCGCCATAACATCACGTTTCACTGTATCACTCCGCTGGGACGCCGTTGCTAAGCAACGACTTTGCTAGGAGACGTTCAAGCCATTTGAACGTTTTTACTTCTTACTTTGCGCACAAACAGAATATGGATAAGATCACATTTGACAGACAGCCGATTTGGTCAGACTCTGAAGATGAGACTACACTAAATTCCTAAACTGTCAGCTGGTCTGTGTGGGGCTGGAGAACGAACTGCCGGCTGTGCAGCGAGTGAGAGGAGCTCGTTAATGTGACGTAGCAACGAGCTGCTTGTTAAGGAACTATAATTTGGCGGAAGGAATTGCTAACATTAAAACATATTAAATGCCACATTCACGGCCCAGTTTATGTATTTCTTACTTTATTTATTTAACTGTTGTATAAAAGCAATAGAACACTCGGGGTCGTGTGTTATCGCGAATAACATCACGGCTGTGACCAAATCACAACCGTGATGTTATTTCGCGATAACACACTCCCTCTCATGGGGTTTTTTAAAACGCTGTTGAAAAAAACTGAAAGTCAAAGCACCGTTTTCAATGTAGATAAATGTAACGTCATTATGCTAGCTATAGTAAACTATGCTGCCTGTTACTGCACAAAACGAGTAGAAACTTGAGGTTAAAACAGAAGTTAAGACGCCTTTGGGGTTGTCTTAAAGTTAGGACAGAATTTAGGAAATTTTGTCTAGTTAGGATGTTTCTGTAATACTGTTTTCTTATCTGGGGTACGATTATGAACTTAAGAATGGTTGTTCTGTAATAGCCTCTGTCCTAAATTCAGTCCTAGCTAAAGTTGTCATGGTGACTAAGCAGATAAGATTTCAGACTTATCTGTAATATGGCCCAGGACGCCAGCCTTACTGATACTGAGTGCTGATTGGTTGGCCAGCGGACCAGCTCATTGCCTGTTGGCGTTCACTGACGTCATAAACGTACATGAGGCGCCGTGTTAAACTCCTGTAACTCGAGTTCAAAGCTCTTAAAATATAACAGCAGTGTTAAAATGTTTTATGTTGTTATGTGTACAGGAAATGAATATATAATTTCATATTAAAAATGTTTAAGTACTCGCTCGAGAGTGCCCTTAAGCGTTTGAGAAACCCAGAAGACATTACAGAGTGGTAATTCTCCTCTCTACAACTTCTCTGGTCATATGTTATTTTTAAAGTCATGTATTCATTTCTCGTTTTGTATAAGCACAAATACAAAACAACTAAGGTTGGTGTGCATGAAGCTTGTCGTTGCGTCACTGGTTACTTAGCAACTCGTCGGCGGAGTGATACAGTTTTGGTGTGATAAAGCCATGTATCACAAATACCAGCACAGTTAGAACGTTTCTCAACCAATAAGATTGTAGGTCGGATCTAACTGGTGTATAATGTTCTGTATAGTGATCCAGATTTTCTAATGTAGGCTACAGTAATTACAGACCATTTCAGACACAGCATTTAATGTGTAAATGAGTTTTTAGCTTAAAGATGTGTTGCTTGTGCTATTCTGTGCTGGGCTGTGGAGTCAGTGCAGTGTCAGATGAAAGCGTATGACTAGAAGTGACCTGCCCGCTATCTCGACCGTTGCGTTCTTCTGCACAGATGCCACAATATGCTAGAGCCACAACAAGAATGACCACCAGAGTTCACGTTCCCTCGAAGTTTTCTCTGATGGAAGTCTCCCCCTACCGGCGTGTGTAGTTACTGCAGGAGAGAGAGGCGAGGCGATGTTGACGAGTGTCGCTGCGCTTCTTGCCCATTTTAGTCGATGCCTGTCAGCCCGCAGGAATGCGCTACTCACACTGCGCAGCCCCCCACTAGATCCCACTCACACAGCCTCAGCGCGTCTCCCACTTTTTTCTCTGTCTTACTCGACAGACAGCGTTTCAGCTCAGTAGTGAGTCTGGTAAGTGTTTTTTTCTGTTTGCCATGTTTTGGTGTGGTTTGGTTTTTCAGCATTTCGATGTCGAAGACGAGGCTAAAAGTTGAAATAAGGGAAAGTTCACTGCAGTCCACAAGGGGAATAGACGAGGGGAAGACCGCTGTGTTTCCCCTGCAGGAGTTTATTTTAATCGCTTTAAGATCGTACGCTAAGTCTTCAAACTGAAGTATATCTGTGACTTGCTGGCGTTTGAGTTGCTTTCTAAATGCAAGCAGCAGCATTTTACTGCATTTCACTCTTCCAACTGAAGATTATTAATTTGACTGAGCTCGATTTACTCCTCTGTCACCTTAGAATCGGTTTTGTCCACACTGTCTAAGACAAATGGAGTGCTTCAGCTATCCTAGGGTGCTTTATCTTACTGTCCCAGCTAGGTATAAATTAGAAGAAGATCAAATGTAAAATAAACACTCAAACGGACTTTTCCTGGCTAGATATATTATTTGTCTGCACATTTCTAGGCGTACTGATTTGGCTTGTGTGGGAGTGCCACCAAGAGCATGTGCCCTGTAAGAGCATGAATACAGAAATATACAGACCCCTGTATTCTAGGTTTCATGGTACCTGTTTCAGATTTATTTCTAAATAAGTGACCGTTCCCTCACTTATTTTACATTCATTTCTCTTTAGCTTGCTGTCCCTCAAAATGTCTGCTGCACCAGATCCAAACACCTTTTTCTACACAACCCTGGCCCCACTGGACTCGAGTATGACAGTGGGGTCAGGTCCTTCCGAGATGCCATCAAATGTTACAACGTGCCAGGAGTGGGAGAAAGCCCATCACCTGCTCTTTCACCTCGGCAACCTGAGTTTACTGGTGGGCCTTCTTATTCCTACCACCGTGGGCCTGCACATGATCCTCCTGAGGCTTCTACTGATGACAGGTCAGACTGAACGCCCTCTGCTGGCCACTACACACAAAAATTGCATCCAAGTGATGATTTGTTGACATGTCCTTGGAACAATCTCTCAGGTTTAGTCAGTGTAGTGCTGGGTGATATCGTGCACTGATATACTGGTACTGGTGTCACATGAAAATATTTATTTTGATTATACTGATAGATGACAAGAAAGACTTGTGTATCATTTTGGGCTGTTTTGAAAGAACATTTTCAAAATACACGAAACTAAATGGTATGTTTGCTCTTTAGAAATCTAATTTCTGTCTGCTTAATGTTTACAATACTGGTTAAGGCTCTGGTTGGTATTCTTTCAGGAGAAGGAGAACAGAACCAAACTGTTTAATCAAAACAAGCTTTGTCAGGTTTATGAGAAATTCTACTAGAACAGAGTACCAATGCTCAGCAAGCATGGGGTCATTAACATTAACATTATTAATGACACTTAAAGATCATCTGATACTGTGATGATGCAATATATTTGGGATATATAGTTAAACAGGCTGTTTTTGTTACTGTGTGTTTAAGACTGATATGTATAAATGACCTCTGTTCTGATTGGATGCCTTGCATTGTGCTTCATTCAGAAAGCAGTCTGGGCTGAAACAGTCCTTATAACTTCAGCATGTAAGCACAGAGCTAAATAAATGTAGGCAGAATAGTCAAATATGTGAAAATGATTTGGCTTTTCATGACATCACAAAAACAATGAATTCAAGATAGGCTGTTTTTGTTTCTTAGCTTCTGTATGTTGATTGTACAAACTGGGAAGTTAATAGTATGTTTTGAAAAGACATCAAATTCTTACATTTAAAAAAAATGAGGAAAATTGGCATGATATGGGCCCTTTAAGATTTATAGTAATCTGCAGTGATTTCACTTAAATGGATTTGGTGCACTGCAGATTCCTATTACAATATATAGAAAATGTACAGATCTGTAAGTTAATGTAATTTGTAAATTAATGTACATTTTCATTGCTTGATTTGATAACTTTATTTCCATGAAGGCACGGTGGGTAGCGCTGCCGCCTCACAGCAAGGAGGGCCTGGGTTCGATTCCCCGGCCGGGCGAGCAGGGTCCTTTCTGTGTGGAGTTTTCATGTTCTCCCTGTGTCTGTGTGGGTTTCCTCCCACAGTCCAAAGACATGCAGTCAGGCCAATTGGACATGTTAAATTGCCCCTAGGTGTGAGTGTGCGTGTGAATGTATATGTCTGTCTGTCTGTCTGCCCTGCGATGGACTGGCGACCTGTCCAGGGTGTATCCTGCCTTCCACCCAATGACTGCTGGGATAGGCTCCAGCTCCTCCCGTGACCCAGAAGGATAAGCAGCTTAGAAGATGTGTGTGTGTGTATTTCCATGAACATAATGGCCCCTTTTCGTGTTTGTAAACAAAACAATAGTGTCTGTTTGGTTGTCATAGTCATGCGTAGTTGTAAACTTTGGATTTGAATTTGGACCCGGGCTTCCCACTGTCGCTCAAATGCTGTGCTTTTCAAAAAGAGTTCAGTGACTGCAGCCCTGCTGTGTTAAGTAAGACATACAACCTTCCTGGTGTTTAAAAAGCCTCACTGCAAATCAGACTGCATGAAATGTGAAGCGTTATGATAAAGTCTGAAACAGTGCTTTTTAATCATGAACTGAATTAACCCCTTAATCAGAAGTGCTCAGCAGTGCTATGGAAATTGCATTATGTTCTGTCTGATTGCAACCTTTCTTAAGACAGAGCAATTGAACCTTGATGTTTTTCAGTAGGAAATGTTCATTTTCTTTTTATTTTTACAGGGTGCTGCCTGTTTATAACCTGGGCTACTCTGTACAGATGTACATTGGATGTGTTGGTATGGAATGCAGTCTTCCTCCTCGTCAACTTCATGCATTTCTTCTTCTTGCTGTACAAGCGTAGGCCTGTGAGTACTGAATGTTAAGGTACATTCTGAAGTGTGATTTCAGAACAGAAGTGGGACCTTGGCTCTTTATTTGCTATTTCAAAGATAGAATGAATTGGAAGCATATTTTCATATTTTGTATTCACAGAAAGAGCTGGAGATGAAAAGGTGGAACAAACTCAGAAATAACACAAGGCTTAAATAAGTGACAGAACAAATGATTAAGAATGTATTATTGTAAGATTTCTTTAAAGGAAATGCAGAAAAAAACATTTTTTCGTTCTTCTGGGAGCCAAAGGTTATTGTTTAAGCCAAGCTACAGCTTCACTGGCTGACAGAATGAGACCACTGCATCCCTATTAGCTCCAGAGAGTCTCATGTCTGAAGCCTTGGGGCCACCCAGTTTAGTTACTGTCTCTCTGCTCCCACCATGCAGCCTGACACCCTCCTAATTCCAGCTGTCTTCAGCTATGCAGGGATGTTTAGATCTGGAGAAATTTCAGTGTGTAATTGGGCAGAGTGAAAAATGATTGGTGTTCACAGTCAGCTTTGTAAATAGAGTTGTCATGATACCTGAATTTTGACTTCAATACCGATTGAAGTGTAGTATCACAATGCTCAATACCAAAACAATACTATGCTTGAAAAATGTAAAACTGATCATCATCTGAATACCCAGTGTTTAACGAACTGAACAAAGAAATATCTCATTGTTGCAGCTTAATTAACATCTCTCATTTTGTAATTCAGACCCTTTTTATCAATATAATTTTTTATAAATGTTAAATAAGTGACAATATTTTAAATTCTTATTCTGCAAGTTCTGCCGGTAGATTTACAGTGAAATGTGGTTTTACTACAAAGCCTGACATTCATCACAGTGTGTTTAAAACAAGTAGAGAATGAGTTACATTCATGTTTCTAAGAGTATACACTGTACATATGGAAGTATTCAGACAGTAGTGCTGGGCTAAACTGCTCAAAATTAATGTCAGAATTTTTTTTAAATACATTATGGTGCTACAGGATATTGTTTACATAAATGAAGTTAAAAGAGCAATATGTAATACTGTGAGCAAGCGGTTAAAATGGGTACTGCAGTCCAAATTTAAGAATTTGGCGTTGTGTGCCCATGCCCTCTCCTCCCCAGGCTCAAAGCTCACAGGGGTTGTTAGGCTGAGACACTGAACCTACACAAACAAGGTCAACACTAAACTTTGACAGCATTAAACTTTGACAATAGCAAGTGATGACAAGACATACACTTTAAGTTGATCAACTAATGTATACGTTTGCAATGTTTTTATTGTTTGCAAATTATAAACCAGCTTGTGGATTTTTTTAAAACTCTGTCATTGTTAGGTATGGATATGTATGGTGGCCAAAGCTAAGCCCGTTATCCCAAAAACAAAAGCCCATTGCTCCGAAAATACTCGCTGCCTTGAAGAAGCTGAAGTCAGTTTCTTATTTGCCAGCTTTTTGTTCAAATTTGCCCATTCCACCTTAAATGGTGCAGCAGTTACATTCTGCCGCCACAGCCTATTCACCAGATTCTTCAATTCCTTTGAATTTTCCTGTTCCACCTTAAATGTTGCAGCAGGTACATTCTGGCGCCTGAGTTACCATTCAAGGTGGAACAGGAAAATTTGAGCAAGAAGCTGGCCAACAGGAAGCTAACTTCTGCCTCATCCGCCTTGATATCCCAGCTGCACACAGACCACAGAGTATGAATGCAAGTACTCGAATGTTGAAATAGCTTACAATGACCATCGCTACTAGTAGCCATGATAAATTAGTTAAGGTTAGCTATCCTTAGCAGAAGCTCACTGCTTACCTGTTCAGGAGAAAATGAGCAAACTCAGCATTTTAAAATCCAGCGTCTGAAAGTCCAGCATCATAAAGTCCTTCTGGGCTTTAAGACGTCTCCATCTTTCAAATGAATCATCAGTATTTACTCACATTTTAGTACGTCTCTGGTCATGGAGCTTTTAAGAAGAATGCACATAACTTATTTCTGGTAAAGTGGAATCATTCTTTTTCTTTTTTTCTAGCATTTAAAATAATCAAATAAGTTTGTCACTGTAATATTAGGTACTTCTCCCACATAATGTTGCACAACGTCTCAATAATTCAGGGCTGTTTTAGTGTACATCATGGTAAACAATTCAAGTCTATTAGCAAAGCTTTACACAGAATACAAAAAAATACACTACAAAACAAAGGTTCCCTTTGGTGTAATCATGATAGAAGAAAATGGAACAAAACATGCAAATCAAAATAAACTGGTCAGGTTTTTAAGACATTCTTTTAGCATACAGTACCAGCTTTTAGGTCAGGATCCAGTTTGTTTGCTTGCTTCCATGGCTGAAGCATGCTGTGTTTGCCTGCCAGTTTATTTCATATCTGGCAACCCAGGGTGTTGAAATGGTACTGGGAAATGGGCAGTGGGCAGGATCACAGGCAAAAACACAAACAGACTTTATGCTCCAAAACAGAAAATACAAATGAGAACATACTGGCTGTAGCACTGTTGTTAGAGAAGCCAGTATGTTTTCTTAATCTCTGATGACATATCATAGTCATTTTATGATTTAGTACAGTGAATATATTATATTTTCAGAGCTGGTACTGAATGCTTAAAGAATGTCTTACAAACCTGACCAGTTTATTTTGATATGTATGTTTTGTTCCATTTTCTTCTATCATGATTACACCAAAGGGAACCTTTGTTTTGTGGTGTATTTTTTTTGTATTCTATGTAAAGCTTTGCTAATAGACTTGAATTGTTTACCATGATGTACATACTAAAACAGCACTGAATTATTGAGATGTTGTGCAACATTATGTGGGAGAAGTACCTAATATTCCGGTGACAAACTTATTTGATTATTTTAAATGCTAGAAAAAAAGAAAAAGAATAATTCCACTTTACCAGAAATAAGTTATACTGTCACCTGGAAACTGAGGCTAATCTTTGTGCTCTAGCACTTTGTAAAACCAGGACAGAACAGACCGCTGGGACGTTACTTCAGGCATGGCTCTCTGTGTCCTTCACACTCTACTGCTCCCTCCTCTGACGCTTTATGTATATGTATGCTTATATATTTAAAACAAATATATTTTTTTGGATATGTATTTCATGGCATTTCACTTCATACTGAAAATCAATGTTCATGTGGTCTTTTTTTGTTTAACCTCAGATTAAGATAGACCGTGAGCTGAGGTCAGTATATAAGCGGATGTTCGAGCCGCTGCATGTGCGTGAAGCTCTGTTCCAGAGGCTGACTGGTCAGTTTTGCACCATCCAGACCCTTAAGAAAGGCCAAGTGTACGCTGCCGAGGATAAGACCTCAGTGGATGAGCGTCTCAGCATTCTCCTGAAGGGAAAGTATGTGACTCACAGCGAGCACTGTCATTGTAAAAATAGCAGATTAGCAGGTTAAATGTCTTGAATATTATCAATAAAGTTTATATATTTTTCTTTATTAGATCAGTTTCCATACTTAGCACATACAACTGTCTTATACTCCTGACAGATATTAAACATTCATTTGTTACAATTCTACTGTTCTGCCAGAAGGGTAAGATAGTTTCACTGACAAAATGTCAGTTAAAATGTCTAGAAATAGGCTAAATGAATGAATCTTATCTGCAAAGTGCTTTTAAGACAATTTATCTTGCAGATGAAATATTACATTCCTTGCATTCTAAATATTTTTGTTTGCTTAGATTTATTTTTTGCATATTTTCATACCTACTATCCTACTAACAGTTTTAAACCATTTATTTGAGCAGTAAGTGTGTTCCGGCTTGTACAAACACAATGGAACATTAGAATACATTCAAACAAATATTAATGCAAATGTAAAACGTAAGAAGAATTTTCAGAAAAAATAGGTGATATAAGCTAGTTAGAAGAATGCAGGTTTGGTTCCAGTTTTCTCCTTGATGGCCCCAGCCATTACATAGATTTATTAAATTACATCAGCCGCACACCTGATTTAACTACATAAACTATTGATCAAGCCAAACCAGGTGGATGATGATAACTACAAATAATACTGGGCTGAAATCATGAAATCACCACTGACTGTATTAATATTATTTGTATTTATTATAATATTGTTTTCTGAGCAAATAAACACTTGCTGCCCAGATAAATGGCCTTTTAATATAATTTCCCCAGGTGCCTAAAACCTGTGCACAGTACTGTATATTCACTACAGACTTTTCAACAATGTTTTTACATTCCTGACCAAGTCCCTGGGTTTGTTGTAGACTGAAGGTGTCATATCGCGGCCATTTCCTTCACAATATTTACACCAATGCCTTCATCGACTCCCCGGAGTTCAGATCAACACAGATGAACAGAGGAGAAAAGTTCCAGGTAAATTCTTCAGAATAGAAGATTTAATTACTTGCAGCATATACATCTGTATTTAGTACAATTCAGAGCAATATAACTTTAATAAGAGGATACAGAGCCACTACTGATCATATTGGCAGGGTTACTGCATTTGAAGATTTAGAAACAGGTTTGGAAACATGTTTGGTGATGTGGAACACTTTATCTCCAGGTGACAATCACAGCTGAGGAAAATTGCAAGTTTCTGTGCTGGTCTAGAGAGAGGCTGACTTACTTTCTGGAGTCGGACTCATTTCTGAACGAAGTGTTTCGATATCTCATCGGTAAAGACATCACCAACAAGCTGTACTCCCTTAATGACCCCACGCTTAGTGACAAGGTAAGATCCTGATGAGCCATATGATAATGAAATATAATAGAAACTTTTGTGAATATATGACAAAATATAAATGAAATATGTGATGTAGGGGAGCAAGGGGTTACACGCCCAGCTTTTGTGTATCACGTCATATCACCATTAGTCAAATGGTTGTTTTTGAAAAGTGGAATACATTACATGTAGGCTGTAATTCAACTATTGATGTGAGAAAAATAGATTTAAACATTGTCATTTTTAAATTCTAGAATGGTAATTTAGCTTATCTTGCACCAAGTGTAGGGTAAACTGATCACGGTATGGGGGGGGGTAAATTAAGCTGTGCTCATATAAGGTAGCACACTAATCAATTTATGGCAAATGAAATGTAAAAACAATGCAAACATTATCAGAATTGTCAGTAAGAGGATAGCACTGACAAACTAGCACTGTGTTTATTAGAAATGTAGACTAGAGAACACTAAAACAAAAAAAATAAACAAAACAATCAAAAACAACAGCAAAAATATAACCTATGCTGTGCCATAAACAGCACATTACTGAACCCTGAAAAGTAACTCTCTACATCTACCAGTCAAGTTTGCAAGGGAACACAAAATGTCTCATTTTGCCCTCAGTGTCTTAATTTAACTCACTCACCCTCTCTAAAACCTGTAGCTAGTGCTGTGCAAGGTGTTTATGATTTTTTTGACTCAAAATACTTTGTTAATCCAAAGCATGCATTAACTCTACATGACATAAACATATATTTGATTTTAGTTCTCATATCAATTTTTGTTTCCTTCCCTCCAATACAGGACCAAATTCTTGGGGGAGTGGGGTTGGGAGGGCCTCTTAGTCTGTGTATATAACAGTTTTCTTATATATGACCATTTCTCAGTGAGCATGTCACGGATGCACACATCTCCGAAGCTTCGGAAAATATCTTTAGGAAAGCATGATGTGGTAATTTTGAACAACAAACAAACAAGCGACAGTAAGGGGCACTAATGACTTGCTAAACCAAGTTTTTGTTACGTTAAAAAACAGGGATTTATGATAGGCTCTGTGGTGCTCTTAAACAGACTTGTAACTCAGAGTTTTATAGCAGTAAAATAGCATGGTGGGTAACTATACAGCCTTGTAGGCTGGGGGTTGGAATGGAAATGCCTGTTTAGAGGGTAAAGCTAGTATTTGTGGCTGCTTTGGGGAAACCCTTAACACTATGTTTGGTTTCCTCTGAAACATGATCACACTCTCTCTCTTGATAAGAGTGGTTGCAATATTCTCTAAAGTAAATTAAATATAATTCACTTTCAGGTTGGCCTTTTTTCCTCTGCCCCCCAAAATATCTCTGCATAGGCCTAGACTGTCCCCAGTTTTCAGTACATTTCTTTTTGTATGAGGATGATGTTTATGTGCCACAAACTATGATCATTATGACAACGTTGATGGGCATGAGATGGATGTAGACGATGGCAGTGATTATAACCATGACAATGATTATGATGATGACTGAATTTCAGGCTGTAAAGAAGATGGAGAGGCAGCCGAGTCTGTGCTCCCAGCTGTCCATGATGCAGATGAGGAACAGCATGGCCAGCACTAGCGACACAGATGATGTGCTTAATCAGATTCTGAGAGGGGGCTCAGGTGGCTCGTCACTGCGTAAGTCTCACTAGTTCCCATGCTAATGAGCACTTAGCACCAATGCTAACTGTAACTACAACTTACTAACTGTGCATGTGTGTGTTCTGTGGTTCTTTATAAAAAGGCCGAGTTCAACATTATGTTGTCAAACCTTCTACTTTCCTGTCTGTCTCTGATTGTCCCTCTCTACTATACACACAGATTAATTTCTGTCTGCATTCATATAACTGCCTCATTTCCACCCTACCAATCATCTCTTCCGGTTTGGTCCATTACCATAAACTAAATGTCTGCTGCTCTACTCCTTCCATATGAGCTCATGCTATTGTATCAGTGTTTCTCTGATATTATTTCCTCCTGTCCCTCCTCTAGCTGTGACCTCAGATCGCGCCTGATGGGGGTGTAAGACGTTTTATATTCTCTCACCGTCATTTTCTCCCCCCCACCCCCAAATCATCCCAAATATCATTCTCAAATATAACCAAATCACTGAATGACTTTTCATATGAATTCCTAACGTTCTCTCAGTGTTCTGATAGCGTGACTCCTCTCATAACCTGACCTGTTACAGAGTTCACCATTAACATCAAAATGGGCTTGTTTTGTGCAAGATTCTGCAAGCCAGAAACCCATTACACACAATATCATAAACATGTTTCCATAAATGTTTACCCTGTAACCGATTCAAGACTGCTTAAAACATTTGGAAGAATTGCATCTGTACTATTAGAGTTCAAAATTAGGGCATATAGATGCATTATATGGCCAAAAGCATGTGGATGCCTATACATCGCAACCATTGTTGGACATCTTATTCTAAAAACATGAGCATTAATATGGAGTTGTCCCCCCTTTGTGGCTTTCGCAGCTTCCACTCTTATGGGAAGGCTACAACATTTTAGAGAGTGTCGGTGGGACTTTGTGCACCATTCGGTCGAATGAGCATTTGTGAGGTCAGACACTGATGTTGAACAAGAAGGCCTGTCTCACAATTGATGTTCCAGTTCACCCCAAAAGTGTTTGGTGGGGTTGAGGTCAGGGCTTTGTGCAGGCCACTGGAGTTCTTTCACACCAAACTCTTCAAACCATGTCTTTATGGACCTTGCTTTGTGCACAGGAGCAGTCATGCTGGAACAGCAAAGGGCCTTCCCACAAAGTTGGACGCATATAATTGTCCAAAATGTCACTGCCCTTCACTAGAACTAAGGGGCCCAAACCCTGTAAAAAAAAAAAGCCCAGACCATTATCCCTCCTCCGCCAAAACCTTTCTGTTGGTACTATGCATTCCAGTAGGTAACGTTCACCATCCACCAGACTCAGATTCATCCATCAGACTCCCAGATAGTAAAGCATGATTTATCACTCCAGACAACATGTTTCTACTGCTCCAGCCTCCAGTGGCAGGAGCCCATTTCATGAAGTCCCTAGGGCACAGTTCTTTTGCTGGTGTTGCTTCCAGAGGCAGTTTGGAACTCTGCAGTGACTTCTGTAAATCTATGTAAATAGGTCCTGCTCTGTGAGTTTGCGTGGTCAGCTGCTTTATGATTGTGCTGATGTTGTTCAAGACGCTTACATTTCACAATAATAGCACTTACAGTTGACTGGGGCAGATCTAACAGGACAGAAATTGGGCAAGGTTGGCCTCCTATGACAGTGCCATGCTTAAAGAGCTCTTCAGTATTATATATTCTACTGCCAGTGTTTGTCTATGAAGATTGCAAGGTTATGTGCTTGATTTTGTGCGCCTGTAAGCAAAGGGTGTAGCTGAAACACCTGAATTCACTAATTTGGAAGGGTGTGCATACATACTTTTGGCCATATTGTGTATTTTTCAAAGTGCATATAAACACCTGCTCTGGGGCTGGGTATCATTCAAAAATGTTTGATACAAATGTTGATATTTTGGCCCGGATTGCTTTTTGAATGAGACAGAATACAGGACAGTCAATCAGAACAGAGCACATTTAAATTAATTAATCAGTGAGCCACAGTAACAAAAATGTCCTGTTCTATGAAATACAGTACAGTTGGAAGATAGTCTAAGAAAAATTAATTTTGACTGTTTTGGGTAAATAAAATCACAAACTTTATAAGGGGACCTCAGGGGGAAATTAATTACAATTAAAGTGTAGGATATTGGCATTTTAATGCGAAGTCTTTATGTTGAGTTGGCCCTGTGATCAAACAGTGTTTATTGTATGAGACAGTATTATGTATCATTTTAATTATTCCATATTTTAAAGCTATTTTACAATAAAAGTGTACGTGGCCTTACAGGGGCTCTTTTGTGGATTTCCACTATCTAAAACATATTTCTATGTAAATACAAAAAAATAAATGAAATTAGATAAATAAAGAAAGAAATAACATAAGTTCTTTTTTTTAGTACATTACAAAAGCTGTAGTCACAGCATGGTACCCAGCAGTGTTGAATTTTGAAGAGTGTGTAGTGGGGGTATTTAGGAGATGCTGCTACTGTTTGCATTTGTACTTATTAATGTTCACCAGTCAAGATTTTGGAACAAGCATGCTCATTGGCATGATGTTGATAAGACAGACTACTTAGATATTAATATTTGGTATTGAACAACATTTGCAATACTCAAAAGTATTGAAGTAAGGTGAAAAGATACCTAGCTCTAGTTTTACTGATTTTCTGCTAACAATATACCATATTGCAATTGGACAGCAATTGTGATGTATTAAAAATACATTTAGGAACTCTCAATGTGACATGGTTAAAGAACAGCCTGCAGTATTTACAGGCTTTTATGTGTCAGAGCATCTGAGATCAGTCAAGATGTCAGTGCACACACACACAGAAACGTAAAAATAAAAGTTGATATTGGGACCTGCTGTGAAGTTAATACTGTGGTAATGCTGTTGTTAGCTCTAGTGACTACTGAGGTATCTGTAAGGTATTAAATGTATATCTTTAAAACAGCTGTGAATACTACTGTGAAAAACTTGGTCCATGACAGTGGTCTCTTCAAGCAGAGAACACTAAACACACTTCAAAGAACATACTGTAATATCTGGAAAAATGTATATAGTATATCAACATCCTGATTAAATTACCTCTCGGTCGAATTCTTATTGCTTTGAAGAACACCCCACACCACCTCCACCACCTCCCCAAAAAACCTCACTTCGTGTTTCCCAGACAGCTTGATACAGTGCAATAAGAGTGTATTTTTTAAAATAAATGTCACTTTGATTGGTTAATGTGACTGCATGTGTTTGAAATAACACAATTCAGTTGTAATCCTGAGAAGCGTATACACAGTACATGTTTTTTCACAGTAAATCTCTAATTTTTCAGAACAAAAACCAATCAGCAAGGCCTCTACGACTATGAAGCCAATCGAAGAAGCAATGGAAGATGATGTTTTTGAAGCTGACTCACCTACTGCCTCCCAACCCAGCCCCAAAACTCCAGAGGAGGTGTAGCATCACACCCTGCCTCAAGTGACATTTAGTGGACCGTTGTGTGACCGTTTGCTCTAAAATACCATCCCATCTATCCTGGAACATGGAATATAAACAGTATACAGTACATCCCTGCAGAGATTTAGGTCACGAAATCTGGATTGGAAATCTTATGGCCTGTTTTCACTACAGATAAATTCAAGGCCTATGTTGTGCTTTTTAAGAGGATTTTCTAAAAATACTCATATCATGTCTGGTCAAAAATATGTCTGACATTAGTATTTAGATTATTTCCACTTGTGTAGCTATGCTCAATATCATCTCTGATTGCAAGTTAAAAGCAATGTCTATGTTTTAAGAGTTTATTTTGATTTATTTTGCCAGTGGGTGGCAGACCTTTATTCCTTTAAAGATAATTCATTTGTGTATGCATGTCTATGCTGTTAATAATTAGATATTGCCATATTGACACAATGTAGATGAATAAAATGGCCATGTATTGTCACTCACTATACTGTGTTTTCAAATATGCTTATTAATATCTGTATAATTTCACAATGTTTAATGTAGAGTTTTTTTATAGACATTGTCATAGATCATGACAACTGTGCTGTAATTACAGTAATGCATTTTTTAGATTAAATGTCAGGCACTGTGGCAACATAATCAGATCACAATCAAGTTTATTTTGCCAATGCAAGTTGCAAACTCTTTTATTTCAGTGGTCCCCCTAAAGAAAGCCTTAAAATGCACTGGTATATTCCAAGTGCAAGAAAAGACCATACACTATTGAAAAGTTCCTGAGGTTCATCAGTGTCTGTAATGAATCCCATGATCTTCAAGCATGTTCATCCAAACAGAAATAAATGGTACTGAGGTAAAATAACTATCACAATCAAGACAATTATGACAGTAAATGTAGAACACTATAGTCCCAGCAAAACCTTTGAAAATCTTGTAGTCATCATTAGAAAGTGTAAAAAAAACAAACCCAAGTAAACCAGTGCTTCATTCACATTTAACTGACATTAAGAAATTACAGCTCACATAGCGATAACAAAACACCAAAATGGCTATTAAATTCTTTGGTTTTTAAAAAAAAATACAAAACAACAACAAAAAAAAAACATTAACAGTCATCAGCTTCTATCAGTGTTTGGCCTCAGATTCATTCAATATTTTTTTTTTGTAAAAATATTTACAACTCAAAATATTTTTGTTTATACTGAAAAATGATCAGTAGTTTAGACTATTTATCATTGCTGCAAGGAGACAAACTCTGCTGTCTAATACAACTTAGAAAAGAGAGAAATGTCTGGACTATCACTGTTCTGGCTTGGTTATCATCAAATATCAGGGTGGTTAAAGCTGATTGTGAGTCCTACAGCTGTGAAACGACTCACAGGAAGACAAGCAAGAGCCAACATTACATTATGAAAAAAGTGAAAAACGTCAAAGATAGAGAGACAAGAACATGTCTCCTGACATTATTATTTTGTAGCATGCAATATTTAAACTCCCAATCAGAATCACCAAAACAGCTTTTGAAATGCACCCACTAAAGAGTACATTATGTATATATGCCATTTTCTGATTTCTGAATCAGAGGCACTCCTGCAGCAGCTAGGTTGTTGTCTTGCTAGAGCCTGACTTGCTTTAAGATAAACACTGTAAACATCTGATATTCAGTCTGCATTCATACAGGATATCTGCATAGCTAGGTGTAGCTATGTCATATTGCAAATTAAGTTATAGGCATGTCACAGTAAGTCTTTAATGTCTGTTACTATGCTCTTCTAAAACATAATTTGTCAAAGGCAATGATCCCTCTTTTGAGCAGTAATCTGACATCATGACCAAGTTAAACAAAACAATGAGGTAGGATTTACTGTAAACTTACCAAAAAAAAAAAAAATCACTATCACCACCACAGTACTCAGAAGAACATCCTCCATGTCCACTAGGAGGCACTAAACTTTTCAAACTGCAGATCCAGTACTAGAGTTTTTTTTGCAGTCCTAGAAATATTGCCTGAACTCAGAACTCCAGGATAACTGTATAGCGCCTATACAGATATGTATATAGATAAACACTATACAATAAGTCTGTTTAGGTATAAACCCTGTCTAACAGCAAATTAACAGATAACATTTTTAGTTTTTGGTAAATACGTCCCTGAGAGAAATTGTTCTCACTAAGAATCTTTTGTTCAGTCATGTGTACATGGCTTAATAACAGTCAGGGATTCAGCTTGGCTTACGTTTGATTATGGAGCCACAGGAAATATGCAAATGCATAAACACACGCATACACACACATACAACGTACAATTCAATAGCTGCATGTAGGAAAAAATAAAAATAAATGCTCACCCATTTAGATTTTATCAGTATAACCACACTTTTTAAGAGAGTACATGTAAGACTTAAATGTTTAAATATAGTTAAGTGACCAATGGAAGATCTTAATAAGTTGAATTAAGTAAGTGCCATAACTGTGTCTAAAGTGTGGCCAGCAGGCCAAAGTTGGCCCGTGAAGAAGTTTGATTTGGCCAGAAATTTACCCTACCCTTTCCTGCTCACCTAACTTATCAAATTCTTTTTTTACCTTTTAAAATTGTATTTTAGCAACAAAAATACATTGTTGCAAACAGTATACAGTATTGTTGCAACAAAGTATAGCGTAAATGTTATAAAATATATTTTTAAAAACCTCAGTCTACCACAAACATTGCACTCTAGCCCCCCAAGCCAAAAAGGGGCACCCCTGGGTTAGAGCAAATACAACAAACAAAAATACATCAGCATGAGACAAATATTGTTTTTGAACACTGTAAGGATAAAAAAAAATCATGTACACTCAAATATGTGCTCATGAAAACACAATTGACCTAGAGACTAAGTAAAACCTTGTTAAGGTACACCATCACATTATGTAGTCTTACATGTACCCCCCCTTAATCAAACAGCTAACTGAATTATCAATGTTAAAAAAACACTGTTATTGTCATTTATTCGTTTGCTCACACTCACATTTATCATATTTAAGCCTAAGAATTGATCACAGCTTTAATGCGACAACGCTTGGTCACTTATGAAAACCACATTACTTCTTCCTGTCTACTCAAATGGGTCAGTTAAATATCGCTCAGATCCCTCAGCTGTCTAATATGTTTGATTTAGCATAATAAACTATTTACTTGATTTGTCAGCTCATATGTTATGTTCTGATAATGTAGTCTAAAATTGTGCTGGCACACCTTAACATTAGTGCAAAAAAGCACATTAGTCTAGACTGGCCTGTGAAAGGCTTCATCCCACTAATATTTAAATGTCACAGAGATCATAGAAACAATCTAACAGTATCAAGAGACAACAGTACATTAGAGTCATTATGATGACACACCTGTTATGATTCTTTAAAATTTGAACCATTTATACAAAGTGGGTCAATACTTTGATGGTTACAATTCAGAACATGACGGAAAGGATGTAAACGAAAAATCTCTGCAGTCTGAAGTGCAGTTCCATGATTGCTCTTATTAACATCTTATTTTAACAGACAGAAGTTGATCAGACATCATCTCTGATTTCCTTCCGCCATTCTAAAACTAGATGAGAAGCAGTGAAATAAGGCTGCTGAGAAAGACAAGTAGCTTGTTCAAAACCTCAAAAAATCTCTTGGATTCTTTGGCTCAAAATTGTTCAGTGTGCCTACAAAAATCAAGGGTTTAAAAAAACACTGCATTTCTTCAATTGTTTGGACCACATTCACATTAGACAACATGATTCAGAATACAGAGCTAACAAAAATGAGCAAAATGATGCATAGGTGTACATTGTGCATGAGGTATAAGTTTCTTTAAAGCACTGGAAACCCACTTTTGGCTTTCCAAATCCTGTTCGGAGTTCAGTTGATTATGAATAAAGAGAGCAGCAAACGTTTCCTCCTTCGTGTGAGGCTCAAGAGTTCCAGAGACATCAGTTTGGGCCTTACTTATCAGTCTGAGGTAGGGTGCGTGCAGCAGTATGCTTACAATGGGGACCTGGATAAGATGAGGCAGCCTGAGAGATTGCAAGGTGTACCGAGAGAGGGACTTCATTTTTTCCTCTTTTTTCTCTGTGATGAGGCAGCTTTTGTTGTGGGGTCTTCAGGGGAGCTGGAGGGTTTGCTGGAGGCGGAGCAGTCCTGAGACGAGTAGGAGGTTCTTTGGCCTGCATCTGAGCTGTGAGGGCTTGGGGCTTGGCCTGAGCTGGAGGCAGGCGGCTCTAAGCTGTACCTTCCCTGAGCAGCTGAGGACGCTTTGTGCGGACAGTGTGCCACCATGTGGGCGGCACTCTGGCAGTAGTGGCACTTCTTGGGTTGTGGAGGGAGGCAACACTCTTTGGCATGATGGTCCAAACCACCACAGTTATAACATCTGACAGAAGAGAGAATCTTGATCAGCAATCTAACATAAGCCAACCAAATTAAATAGAAATAGATGGCAAAACAGGGCAGAAACAGCAGGGTATCAGGTAAAGTGGGACAAATAAGCTTTACGCTGCACTGCTGAAGACAATCAAATGTAAGTACCTTGAAAAATTACTACAAGTAGTTAAAATTGTGGTTGCTATCCATTATCAGATCATTTTTTAAGCATTTATCTGTCAATACCAATATGATTCCAATACCATTATTCAACCTTAACCACAAGGGTTCTTGTTGTTTAGCAATTGTCATTGATCAACATCATGTTTTGGGCATAATTGGTCATAATGGAACAACACAATGTACTTTTCATATATATATATATATATAATATATATATATATATATACACACACACACACACACACACACACACACTACACATATATATGTATATATTTACACGAAATTACCCAAAATTATTCATACCCCTGGCAAATTTTGACTTAGTTATTTTTATTCAACCAGCAATTTTTTTTTGACCGGAAATGACACAGGCATCTCCCAGAAGATAAGACAAAGTACAAGAAGCATCATTGTGGAAAAAAAATATTCCTCAGCTTTTATTTACATTTGAACAAAAAGTGGCATGTCCAAAATTATTCATACCCTTCTCAATAAATCAATAGAAAAGTCTTTATTGGCTATTACAGCAATCAAACGCTTCCTATCATTGCTGACCAGCTTTTTGCATGTCTCCTCTGGTATTTTTGCCCATTCATCTTTAGCGATGAGCTCCAACTCTTTCAGATTGGAGGGTCTCCTTGCCATCACCCTGATCTTTAGCTCCCTCCACAGATTCTCAATTGGATTCAAGTCAGGACTCTGGCTGGGCCACTGCAAAACGTTAATGTTTTTGTCCGCTAACCATTTCTTCACCACTTTTGCTGTGTGTTTTGGGTCGTTGTCGTGCTGAAATGTTTCATGTTGTTGTTGAGAATCTTGATGTACTGCTCTTTTTTCATGGTGCCGTTTACTGTGATTAGGTTCCCTGGTCCACTGGCTGAAAAACATCCCCAAATCATTGGGTTCCCACCATCATGTTTGACAGTGGGGATGGTGTTTTTAGGGTTGAAGGCTTCTCCTTTTTTACGCCAAATGAAGGATACATCATTGTGGCCAATCAATTCCATTTTTGTTTCATCTAACCATAAAACAGAAGACCAGAAGTCTTTTTCTTTGTCCAGATGAGCATTTGCAAAGGCCAAGCGGGCTTTTGTGTGCCTTTTCTGGAGAAGTGGCGTCCTCCTTGGTCTGTGTCTGTGGAACCCAGCAGTGTCAGTTGGACTGTCTGCCTTGAGACGTTGCCACCAGCAGAGCCCAGATTCACCAGGATGGCCTTGGTGGTGATCCTTGGATTCTTTTTCACCTCTCTCACTATCCTCCTGGCCAGCACAGGTGTCACTTTTGGCTTCCGACCACGTCCTCTGAGATTTTCCAGCGTGCGGAATGTCTTGTATTTTTGAATAATACTTTGCACTGTAGCCCCTGGAACTGGAAAACATTTAGATATGGCCTTATAGCCCTTTCCTGCCTTGTGAGCAGCCACAATGCGCAGCCACAGGTTCTTAGTGAGCTCCTTTGTCTTAGCCATGACTGTCCACAAACCAACTGCAGAGAGCTGCTGTTTTTGACCTGTTGAGTTGATTAAAACAGCTGTTCCCAATGAATGAGCGTAATTAGAATGCTTTAGAACAGCTTGGACTATTTGAAAATGGTACAGAACTTTGGATTTTCCCATAGACTGTGACAGTTTGCAAAGGGTATGAATAATTTTGGACATGCCACTTTTTGTTCAAATGTAAATAAAAGCTGAGGAATATTTTTTTTCCCCAATGATGCCTCTTGTACTTTGTCTTATTATCTTCTGGGAGATGCCTGTGTCATTTCCGGTCAAAAAAAAATTGCTGGTTGAATAAAAATAACTTTAAGTCAAAATGTGCCAGGGGTATGAATAATTTCGGGCTTCACTGTGTATATACATTATTTTTTACATTATTTTATATTACATCATTTTTTAGGCTTACATGCTTCAAATTAATAACCTATTGTGTGGAATTATTTTGCATGTAGACCTTATAAAAATATTTATCTTTTTTTGCAAAATGGTACATAAACCAGGACCAGGGAAAAGGCAGAGAGGACAGAAGAAGAGGGGTGAAATAGGTGTTGAGAGGACAGAATGAAAAGTGGTACAGATTAATATTTATATCAAACTGAGTCAGACGAAGCCTAAGCTGTGGTTGCTTGCTAGAGCACGAGACATGTCAAAGCCACAAAATCACAAAAAAATATGCAGACATATAGCTTTTATGAGGGTCTCCTGGTATATTTACCAAAAAGTGTCCCACTTGGGCCGAGTTTACCCTGCATATGTTGTCCCTGTTTGCATCCAACTTTTTTTGTGGAAAAGCCTTTTACAAGCAGGAACTTCTTGAAACTGTGGTGAATTATTGTCAAAGCTAGTCAATCGGGCAATTATAATACTTTCTGTTTATATCAGAATATGGTAAATATTTAGGAGATCCTTTGTCCCTAGAGCCATTAGGCTCTTCAACTCTTCCCAGTGGGGCCAGAAGAGAGAAGAGGACAGATGAGGACTGAATCTCTCATGCTAAATTATAGGTTTATTTTAACTATCTGCACATATGGACACCTTATTGTACAGATTGCACTTCTGCACACCTTATCGCACATCTTGCACATCTGGACACTCCACACCTAGACACTTTATTTCAGTACCAATATATGCACATATTTATTCAGTATTGTCATTATACGCCATTACCCGTGCTTTCTTGTACATTCATTATTGCACTACCTTTTTATCTCAGAATAGATCTTATTGCATATTTTTGTATATTTCTAGTTGTATATATGCCTGTAGATATTTTTTGTACATATTCTTCTTTTTATATCATATCACCCTTATTATTATAACTGTCCTGTGTTGTGTGACTGCTATGCTACTATCTAAATTCCTACCAATTCTCAAAGCAACACATTTGATTTTCTAAAGACCTAGATAATTTTTTTTACCCACTTGTTTAGAAAACACTGTTGTGCAAACATTTAGATGTTTTTGTTGCTACAAAGAATTAACAGGTTTTTGAACTATGCTGACTATTGTACTGCTGATTATTGTAGGCTTCAATACAGGTTCTGATAATATGTCTTCCATATACCTAATTACATGACCTACACTTTCTTATGCAGGGTCAGGCATGAAGGATGAGAGGCAACAGGGGGAATGCACTTCCCACATTTTTCCCCCAACTGTCTTACAACATGCCACACATTTCAGCTTCAAGTCCCTCAGTCCTACATTGTGGATCATTTATCATATATTTTGAGCTGTATGTGACCTTTCAGTATGAACAACAAAATCTTCTAACTTTATTAGAAAGGTGGCATACTCAATGCATTCACCAGCTCTTTACAAGGAAACAAACTTCTGAGTGATCGAGCATGAGGCTTGTGGGGGGTCCTGCATGGTAGCATCTTCAATTAGAGTGTGAACAGGAAGGGGGAGGGGCAGTGGAATTTGGGATTCATTCTTGCCTACCTATCATACCTTGATTCCTTTTCAGTCTGCATAGCTCCAGTAGGTTGTGTTCTAATTTGCACAGACCCTCTAAAAGTCCTTTGCTTTGAAAATAAGAGGTGTAGGTGGAAAAAACATGGTGCATATTGTTGCTGTCAGAAAAAAAAATAAAATAAAAAAATAAAACCAAGTATCTTCTTTTTTGTTGATTTTTGTTTTAGCACAGCAGCAGCCCCCTACATTGTGTGCAAATTTCATGATGAATGGACCAACAGAAATGCTCCAAAACTGCTTGAAATAAAATCTCTTCCCATTAACTTACATTAAAAGTAAAAAGCCATTTGGAGACTTTTTTGGACAGTGATGATATTTCTAATCACCTCAGACAGACCATATTCTGGTAATCATGAAAAGAATCTAATCAAAAGAAGAGTTACAGAATTGCTCTCTAGGGCTGTAGATTTTTTGACAAGATATTAAGTTAAGGTGCAGTTTTAAAGTTATAACATTGTCTTGAAGGTGTGCCATTGCATAGTCACAGTATGCAGTTGTGGCTATAAAGACAAGCATTCACATCAGTATGATTTGCCCAGTGACTTTTCCCAACACTGTACTTTAAATACCTGATGACAAATTGTTATTTAGTAGAGATGCACAATCAGAATCGGTCAAGATTGGAATTGGCATTGTTTTTGTTCAAAATACAAAATCAGCAATTTTTGTTTTTATTTTGGCAGATTTGTGCTGCAATTTTATGAAGTAAATGAGCGAGTTTAGTGTACTTGTACTGTGTTTAAATGCTGCTGCTGCATCTATACCAAAATGTCAGTATAATTATCTATGACTCATTGTGGTAAACAGCCAGTTGTCTCTCACTTGTAATGTAGCACTTTATTTGATTCATGCAACCAATTGAAAATTGAAAAAAAAAAAAATTACAAAAATGTTTTTCCCATTAGTGAGCAAGTATTTTGTTTATTTTGCATATTTGGTAATTATAAAGTACTAGAAATGTACCTGACGTTGCAGCCTTATATAGGCAATCAAACTTTTATCCAAAATAAAAAAGCACAATGAATGTTGTCATTTCTTTTTCTCCTGTATCGAAAACATGCCATTTCCTGGTGCAAAAGCTTACAGTATCACATTTATGTATTGTTACATCCTTACAACATCCATGATATTTAAAAGACAAATGCACACATAAACAAATAAGTAAAATCAGAGCAACACTGGTGGAAATATTTTACTGAAAGTTCAATTATAAATGAGAATATGAATAGTTATGTGAATAAAGACACAATTGGATACACTGGCAAAGCACACAGCCTTAGGCACTTAAGTACTTAACCACAATCATACCATCTCCACCCACTTAACCACATGATGATTCAGATTTCATGGCTGGCACAGCTAGAAATCAACAAGTCCTGGGTGATATGGGATAGTCATACCATCTGAGACAACAAACAATAGAAAAAATTCTCAAAATGCTTGGTGTGCTATGTATAATATCTGCTGCAGTCAGTATGTGTGACTCTGAAAAGCATATTTGTGCTCTAAAAGAGTTAAATTAAAGGATCTTATTGTGGAAAGTCAATGTTCCCTCAACCAGTTTTCCCCTTTATTTAATTTTAAATTAAAGAGTTTGGTGTATAAACGAGCCTATTCTACAAAACTGTGCTGCAATTTTATGGTGTAAATGAGCCAAGAAAGTGCACTTGCACTGTATTTAAATGCTGCTGCTACATCTATACCAACATGTCAAAGAATAATTATGCATGATTCATTGTGCTAAAAATCGGCCATAAAAATTCATGGTTAGTGCATCTCTATTATATAGGCTAGTCTACCCTGGTTAGAGGTGGCACTATAATGCACTTTAATGATATGTTTAGGTTCCAAGCCAATTTCTTTCAGCTTTAAAGGTTCTAGCTCATAAACAAAAAATTGCCATATTAATAGGATATTAAGGTCAAAGAAAACCAAGGCTTACACGACAGAATGTCCTTTATGTTAAGAATTCTTTGTTAAGTATATAATACCTTGTTCCATGGGCTACAGCAGAGTCAGAAATATTGCAAATAGCCACAGCTGGTATAAGATTAGGTTGAAAACCAACAATATCTATGCATGATGTCTTCAAATGCTAGCACTGATGTCTAATGATAAAATGTGGCTGTTAGCCTTTAGCAAAATGTAATTCTAGCTAGGTAAGATCGTGAGTAAATTTGAGCTTTGCTGCGCTGTACATGTATCAACCAAAATCACGATGCTATAACAACTTGTGCTTTCACCCAAACCCCAGCAAAAATAGCAGCAATTTAGCAGGGAAAAAAAAGCTCTCACACACTATTGCGATAAAACCATGGCAACAGACACAGACCCACAGAGCAACAGCCTGAGAGGCAGGGCAGCCTCTCTCAAAAGGACTCTAAGGGACCACCCATCACTACTCAAAATAACATGAAACATACAGTATACATACTACTGGCCACGTATTCCTCAAACAAATGAAACATTTGAAAGCTCAACAACATGATGCATCACAGCTTTATGACTAACCAATGACTGGTCCACTTCTTCTTTATTTTTCAATCATGCAACACCAATAAGTCCCAGCCTACAGAAGAATCCACATCACCATGGCCTTGATAAGAAAATCCTGACTACTGCACCTGCAGAAAAGAGCTCTGAGGCACTGTTGCCCACTCACCGGTCTCCCTTTGGCTTTCGTTTCTGCTGCATGCTTTTCCCTTTGGGTCTCTTCTCACTGCCCACGCAGTGGACTCCTCCAGGCCCCGTTACTCGCACACACTCCAGGCCCTTAGAGGACTTCTTGAAGGTGAACTCTACAGCCTCGCCTTCCTTCAGACTCCGAAAACCCTCCATGTGCAGCTTACTCTGAGAGAGAGCAGAAAGGAGCATCACAAACTGCATGATAAACAAAAAGAAAAGTAAAAAGACAACCAGGCAGTTTCACACCATCTGATCAAATGTATATATATTTATGAATTATGAATATTTGAATGCCAATGTAACAGCATTCTTTAGGAAAAACATGAATATATTTTTGTAACAATATGAGGGTTAAAGATACAGATAGATAAAATGTATTCATCATACCAGACATACTAACATAAATGGGAATAGTTTCCATTGTTCTGTTAAGAACAACACTGTGATAATTATAAAAGAGACAACCTTGTGAATAAATAAAGGATTAATTAAATAAATTTCCTTTATTGCACACCAAAACCATTTACATGTCATTTCTTTTTCTCCTGTATCGAAAATGTATCATATCACGGTGCAAAAACTGCAATAAATATTGTATCGTGAAATTCGTTTTTTTACATCCCTACAACACTTACTTGTTAAACAACAAATGTATGCATAAACAAATAAGTAAAAAAAATCCTTTACTAAAAATTCAGCAATAAATGAGGATATGATTAGTTACATTAATTAGTTATAAAGACACATTTAGATACACCAGTCTTGGATGATATGGAATAGTCATGCCATCTGATACAACAATAGGAAAAATTTCTCAAAATGCTTGGGGTGCCATGTATAATATCTGCTGCAGTCAGTATGTGTGACTCTAAAAGGCATATTTGTGCTCTAAAAGACAAGTAAAATGACTCTTAATGTGGAAAACAATTTTCCCCCACTTTATTTTGTAAATTTTTTTCAGTCCAGTATTTGAAAACTGAGCTGCAAAAACAACCCATCTGAACGGTTTTTGCAGTGTCACGAAAATCAATGCCTTTACATCAATTCGCCAATTCAGTCTACAGCAGTTTAGCTCTGCCCACTCACACTGAAGTTATAAGGAGCGTTTCAGGATGAACTGCATTTTGAATGAGTACAGGGCATTAAATCAGAACAGAGCTCACTTACATAAATCTGTCTGTAAAACACAGAGACCAAAAAGGCTTGTTTAATTGATAAAGAAAGGTTAGAAAACTGTCAAATAAAAATTTGTTACAACTGTTTTTGGCACATAAAACCCCAAATGTCATAAATGACTTCATTATTTAAAAAAAATAATAATAAAAACAAAACAAGAAAACTGTAGGATGTGGGCTCTCTGAAGTTGCACAGATGCAACAAATATGTAATCATTGTTCTGCAAACATTACAATATACCAAAAAAACACTGCAATAACAACCATCATCAAGAAAGCATTCTTAAGATTTAAGCAATTCATGAGATGATGAACTTTTGAGTATAACCCTGTATGCTACAATGCTTCATTTATCTGTCAATATTATTATCTGGATTGTCTTGATTTAAACTATAATAATAATGCATATGCATAAACAATTAATATTATTTACTGCTCAGAGTAAAACAAAATCTGTAAAAACAAATCAAGTAACAAATACATTTTAAATGAAAAGATTTCAAACAAGCTTTTGGTTACTTGTTACCACATGAAATAGTTTTTTTAACTAGATCTGACGAGACACTTTTTACAGTGTAGAATAAAAAGTCCAAGTGAACAATGCTCTATCAATCTTTTTACATGCTGTAGAATATAACAATATTACAGATTAAAGATTACAATAATGCAACTATTTCAAACCATGGTCTGAATCTGACAGTTTACAAATATTTTATCACATATTTATTGAATATGTGATAAACATGTAATGAATACAATTATATCCCAGATTACATGTAAACTTAATTGTATTTATATTTTTAAAAATATATTTTTAAAAATCAAACACCATGCAATGTTATTTTAAGAATAATATTTTAGAAGGACACAATCCTACAGTTATTCTAAAATAACTAACAAAGCTTTTTTCAGTTTAACAATTCATGCACCAAAAACATGTGAAACATCTTTATTAGAAGAATTAGAAAAAGCTAACTCTGCTGCAAATATTCTGTATAAAATGCATGTTTTCATACACACATTAAAAACTATTTTACTGATTTCTGTGGGGAGTTTTCAGACAGTTGCTTTTAATGTTACACCTCCAGTAAAAAAAACTGATTTCAATAAAAAACAATTATGAACACAAAAACATCAGCAATGCTTAAATGCTTACATAGAATATATTTAAATAAATTGAAATATTATATATATATATATATATATATGCATTAAGTGATGAGAATATCTTGATGTACTATTTTTAATCAATTTACAATGATCACACTTCACAATGGAATCATTCAAATATCAGTTTGTAAAGGCAAAGAACCAAATATTTTAATCAATAACACTCAATTATTATACAGAGTGTAAATAAAACATACTTCTCTAACAACAACAACAACAACAACAACAACAACAACAATAATAATAATACATTTTAATTAGCGGTCATTGCATTCAGAGCTCCATTCTGTATCAGTGGAAGAAAAAATGTTTTTTACTACACATTAACAGAATTTTACAGTGAATCAACAACCTACATTACAACGAGGATCCACGACCTGCAGTCCATTCCCCCTTATCCACTAATAATGCTAACAGTCTGGGTAACACATCTGTAGCCTAATGCTGTAGAATTTGTGCTTTTTACATACACAGAGCATTTTAACTAACCAACTAACTTGAATATGAATACAAAACACTAGTTTAGCTTGAGACAAACATTCTAGTCCTGCTCTGTCTCTTTTTAACTGTCCTTAGTCATGAGCTTTCAGCAGCTTGACTGGCAGCCATCTTGGCTGTTTTGGATTGAAGGATGGGTGAAGAGAGGATGTGTAACAAAGGAGGGTAGCTTGAAAGAGGGAGCAGCCATCCCTGACATATGAATACACTGATACACCAACAGAAGATTAGCATGAAAACCTTTAACAGATTTAAGGAGCACATACATTTTCAACTGGGAAATATTGTCACTGTCACATCACAACTATTATTATTATTATTATTATTATTATTGTATTTATTTAAAAACACTACTGACAATGTCATTTAGAAACACCAGTAATCATTAACTTCTCAAGTCCATTTCATGGTGAATGGACCAACAGAAATGGTCCAACATTTAAAACTTTAAGGCATTAAAAATTAAGGGCATTTTTGTCCTTCTGCTGTAAAGTTATCAGTTTGGAGATACGTGGTTTTGTTATGACACCACTGATGTATATATACATACAGTACAAACTTCTTAGACCATATGAAAATGTACAGCTATTTAAGCTATTTTTCTGGGCAGTAGGTGTTTATTTGTTTAAAAAAAATAAATAAAATAAAAAATCCCACTAATATTAGAAAAAATGTAACTAACAAATAAAAAATAAATTGTGATTTTATGTCTTTCACTGCGTTAATCATTTCCATTTCCAAAGCTCTCATCGTGGAAGCCCAGTATTTACAGTTACCATCCTCTGTGTAGTTTACCTAATCAAACCTTCATTAAATTAAATCTGTTGATGGAATTTAACAGATCTATGCAATGAAGTGCTCCAAAAATCAGAAACCAAACCTGCATTCTTCTAACCCTATTTTTCTAGTCAATGTCTTGATAACTTTTCACTCCTGTTTGTTCTTGTTTATCTGTATGTATTCTAGTGTTATATATTTTTTTACAGGTGATAATACATTTTCTGCTGAGAGAAATAGTTTGACAATTATTTCATGGCTTCCCAAGACTTTTGCACAGTACTATATGACGAGTTTCATTACAAAATGCTCTATATCCATTTTTAATTTTGGATATAATATTGGATATGTTTTTGAAAAGCGTAACAGCTGACCTATAATGCAAAAAAGATGTTTTTTATTTCTCTCATAAATGTGGTATTAATCATAACATAGCATTGATATAGATTGCACGTGTAAAGCTCACTCCCAACAAAATATATCATAAAAAAAGATCTAAAACTCTTGAAAGTGGTCTATAATAAAAACTAATCCCTTTATATGTTCCTCAACAGACTAAAAACAATCTGTGTGTCTCTTGAGAACAATAGCAGGCATAAAGGTGAATAGACAAATTAGAATTTCAAATTAGATGAAAAAAATACAGTGAACAAATGCAAGAACAGATCTTGATGGTCGTATTTGGAAACTGATTGTAAATGACAGTGTTTTCAGGACAGAAGCGAATAATGACAACAAGAGATTACAAACTGTTTCTGGCAAGCATGAGAGGCCACTCACTCAGAGGCATTTCTGCTCCTCCCAATAGAGATCAAGCATCTATGGATGACTCACAAGAGGAAGTCACGTGAACAGAAGGTGGCTTTTTTCATCCTTTCTTCTTTTTTGAAGGAAAAGAGAAAAAAAGCCCATGAGCAAGAGAAACAAAGCCTGGTATTAGCTGAGAAGGGTGGGGCCTGCATGCCAAACGGTGAAATGGGCTGCTAGTTAATCTTACCAGGGGCCCACATAGTCCTCCCAGCGCACTAACAAAATCTAACCTTCTGAAAGGACAACACAAACATGCAGGAAATGAGTGCAATCATCCAAGTCAATCTCCTACTGCATTTGCAGGTACAATTTAAAAAGAAAGAAATCTTACACAGCTAAAATTCATAACCAATGTTTCATGCATGCTTTTTTGCCATAGTTTCACCTCACAGAGAATGGATCAAAAGAAACCCTTCCCCCACACTCATATACCAGGGCTGAGCACAATAACCAGACACTTTCCAGAGGCCCCATTTAAAATCGTTTCCATCTCTTATTAAACCAGCCACCTCTCCCATAAAGAAACATCCTGATAAGCAATATACTTTTGTTATGACAGGCAGAATAGGTGGAACGTGTCACATTCCAAATACAGCATGTTTTGAGGGGAAAACAATTATGATATTTATTATAATCAGCCGCATCAAAACACAAGCAGTGAGTTTAAAACTGGAAAAACAACTGAGCTCATCTTCTGGAAACATTTCAATTATCAAGCTTTGCACATTCAACAAGACATTCTGGTGGTAGACACTTGCTTTCGCAATGATCAGAAACACATTTCATGTCATGTTTGTAGGCTGCATATTACTACCTGGTGACAACACCAGTCATGAAACTAGAACAGGACATATTATATATTCTATTATATATTCTAATTTTTCAATTTACGTATTAAATAGAAGCACTGTAGGGAAAAAAAATCACAATGTAACAGTCCACACAACCATTACACAACATACATTTTTCTTAGTCTTCCTTATTCTTTAATATATTACAATTTTTATGAAAACATCTTCCCACTGTGCCATACAGGTTACATTTTGGGAAGGGAGAGATGATTGTAAGGGCGAATTACTGCTTAAATCAATGCACACAACATGCAACCAAACCCTAGAGCTCTATTTAAAAAGGGGCTCGCTTTCCATGAGGAGATTTGCATCCTAAACGTTAAGGTACACAGTCAGATTCACCATGTGTAGAGGTCTTTGTTTCAACCTTGCCCAACATCAGCTGATTCCAGGCACAAGCCCTGCTTAAAGAAGAGAACCTAATCAGATGATGCATTGCATGTTGGGACACAAAAATCTGTAGACACTGTGGCCCCTGATGACATCATATGAATATCCATGCTGGAAACCTTACAATACAAACATCACATATGGAAAGATGGAGAAAGTCAAGTGGGTGTTGTACACTCTCAGAAAAAAAGGTATGATACTACTTTTGGGTACAAATGCTGTCCCTGAGGTGGAAGCCTCTAAGGCATGTTTTCTATATCTTTTTAGGGAACATAATTGTACCATATTCTGCTGCAATTATTTGTTTTAGGTGTTTCTAATTTAGTACTTTTTTTTACGTTCTGTCCTGACTAGAGCTTTTTTTATATTTCTTTTTAAAAAGTTAAGCTATGAAAAGGTGCACCTTTTCTATGTGAACGTAAACGTGGTGTATCTTTAAAACTCATTTAACATGGCTGAATCTTCATGACCATGTTGTGCTTCTGTGGGCATTTACATTGTCTGTAGCTTGGCGGACAAAACGTACCTGTACAGTACCCTTTTTTCTGACACTGTAGCAATAATTCAAAAAGTAAAGCAAGACGTGCAAATAAATCTGAGAGTCTAATGCTGCATGTACCCACTGATGTGAAGGAAAATACTGTTGGTTAGTTGGACAACACAGCAGTACTAAACGGGTGAAGAGTTTGGTGCTGTTAGCCCAACATTTGGATGTGAAACACAATCAGTGCAGCTAGCTAGGCCTTACACATTTGTAACACTAGTGTAACAGCTGGGCCTGTAGGAGGGCAAAAAACCCAGTAAAACCTGAACAGTGCTACAAGATCACTAAAGATTCTTCAGAAAACTTGGTGAGTACTGGAATAATTAAGAAATAAGCCCAGGCTCGTGTTGTTGATGATCTTTTCCACCCTAGGCTATAGCGTACGGCTGAATGAGTCAATGGATTCTTTCTCGTTCCAACTGTCGTGGTGGTTGGTGGTTAAACCTGCCTCTAAAAAGACCCGCCAAATGACCAGTCCTGTTTCTTGCAAATGGCGACGTCCACTGTAGACTAACGAGAAAAAACAACGTTCATCAACACCAAAGTTCGTCGCCACCTTTTGCTGGCAAGTGTAAAGATGTGGCCTATGGTTTTGCTGTCGAACGAACAAGCAAGGATGGTGTAACAGAACCTCAACATGGCAACACGATACGTCACTGTAACTTAAAAGTATTAAGGTGGGGAAAAGTACAAGAATGGACAAACAAGTATGATTAGACAGAGGCTAGATGTGCGTGAGAGAGGTGCTACCGAAGTGCTCGGTGAGCTTAGGCCTAGCCCTCTGACGAGTTAAACAAGAACAGGCCTAGAAGTAGAAGAGCAGCGTTATCTGCTCCCTTAAGCTCTTTTAGTTTTCGGCGGTAAACTTGAGGTAAACTTACTTGGTGAACAAACACATCCAATGGAGGATCAATAGGATTTCCTCCGCGACTAGTCATCGATATGAATCCAAAGCCCATTCGTACATTAAACCACTTACAGTGGCCTGTGCCGTACATGGGCAAGGGGTCAGTTCCCTCCTCAGACTCGGCAGACGTCCGAAGGCTCCCTCGACCATTGCCCACACCTCCTGAGGTTGGAAAGAAGAGACAGTTAGCACGGGCTACATTATTAATAAACCCCTCTCTATCCGGCACAGGAGCAATGGGGTTTCCACGCTCGGGTGCTCAGTTCTGCTAGGCGCATTTGGCCATAAACTTCAAATACAGTGTATTTTGTTACAGGCTAGGCTACTTATCAGTAATCCTAAAATGAATGTGTAGCCTCAACCAAAATTAGGCATCACACTACGAGCTTAGTGTAGTCTAGTGAAACAAAACAGGTGTTGCCTTGCGTCTTAAAACACCAGCCCGGGGTATCGGGCAGGCGAACGCAGCCTGTCTGGTTATCTCCTCAGGGAGTAAACAGAGGTAAAGCCGTGCATTTCAAACACAAGGCGCCACACCAGTGGACTTAGCTACAGCACCAGCGAGAGCAGCGGCGGGGACGGTCGCTACAACCATATAGGATACCTTCGGCCATGTTTTCCCTGGACTCCCTTCTTCCAAACTTCTCAGAGTGTAAATCCTCCTTAGAAAGCGTTTGATCCTCTTCAGAAATTTAATACAATGCTTTAAACAAACCATAATGTTGCGGGCATGATCTAGCGTGCGCAGTACAACAGACGGCCTTTTACTCTAGTGCACTCCCCCCTTTCACTCCCTCTCTCTCTCTCCGCCCACAGTCCACTTTCCCATGTGCCTATGCCAATGACTCGCATCTCATTTCTCTCCGAGTGAGCGTTTTGGAGGAGGGGTTTGGGCTGCCTTGGCCTCGGAGCAGCCAATCGTCGTTGAGAAACATGCACAGGGAGTATTCACTGAACACGTTAACTTCTCCTAAAGGCTAAAGGATCAGGCGAGAGAGAGATAGAGACAGAGACAGAGAGAGAGAGAAAGACTTTGAATTATATGTTCAGTTTGTGAATTGATGGCTACCTTGTAAATAAGAGATGCAACAGAAAACTCATGTAAGAACAAGTCTACTGATAAACTGACAGTAACGCTGTGTAAATAGTTAACAGTACTAGCAGTATCCAGTAGTTATTAGTAGCCTAAACCATGAACTATGGATTTGGGCTACTGGTTTAAAAACTACAGTCCAGTGTCTGGTCTTATCACACATTTTTAGCGATGTTACCGTACGCAGCTATACTTAAAACATGCCGCAGCCCACTGAGGGCACCATAAATTAATTCTGTTATCTATGACTGAGCTTCAGGCATAGGCTATTTTTTTAAACATTTAAGTAACTGCTACTATAATGCTCCTAGAATAGTGTTCAAACTATGAGCCCATAAACTGAAGACGCGTTTTGAAAAGTGTGTAAAAGGAGAACTTTTACAACTTCAGCAGAACTTTTGTGTACTTGCATTTCTTTACCTTTTCCAGCCCCACATGTTCTACAGGTCAGTTTAGCAAATGCAAAACATGAAAAAAAATCATCCAGCCTTTGTTTGGAAACCAAGCTTGTTCAGAGAAGAGCGTCTGAAAAAGAAATGTTTGTGATGTAGTTTATGTATCCTGTCAGTGCTGTAGGCAGCCTGCTGACTTTATTCCACCTCATAAGCCCCTCAGATGGACTGGAGCTCAGCACTGAGCTAAACCAGGGGTACTAAGTGCCGATCACGGCAGACGGAAAAGGCGCCACACAGACACGCTTCTCTTCTTTGAAAGATGAGTGAAAATGAAGATCGGCTGTCTGTTTGAGAAAAAGGTTTGGACGTGTTTTTAAACATCATATCCACTCTATAATTAGACTGAGACCTGCTATTTACGCTATTTTCGATTAATTCAGCATTATCTTTCTGCACGCTGTACCCGCAGTAGCGTTTCCCAGTGACAGTTCAACATGTTTTAAACGTATGTGCTGCTTTAGCCTCCAGCCTAAAGGTTTTCATACAGCGGTTTGAAATTAAAGCCGCGCTGCAGTGAATTATCTGTACATATTTTCCATCAGATCACAGTGAAACATCTTATAACATCTCACATGTGTACAGATTGATCGGTTTACGGGACAGTTCGCCACGGCTCTCCCGAATTTCCTATAAATAACCTGAACAGTTTAGTCTAATTAACAGCTTATCACACGATTCTCATAAATGAACGAACAGAGGAAATGCAGCAGGCGGAGGTGAGGGATATTCAACTGTTTACTCTCACAGTGCAGGTTCAGAATAAGTGAGCGTTAATACACCCGTTCCGAGAATAAGCCCTATAATAGATGAAAGAAGTAGTGGAGTCTGGTGTCTGGTTCTCCGGCAGAAACCGTTTCTTATTTGCTCCCTTCAGGGCAGAGTAACTCGGTTTGCTTTGTTATCTGCATATTATCAGTGTGTGAAGGAAACGTGTCACGCACTGACTGTCAGCTGCATGTGGGGGTTGTTAAAGTGTGGGAGAGTCTCAGAGGACCACCTATGTCACTCTCTCTCTCTCTCTCTCTCTCTTTCTCTGTCTGATTATATTTTAAAAAAATCTTGAAAAAAGAAGCAAAAAAGCGATTTGCCCCAAACTGCTTCACTCGTGTATACTCATCTTTCCACCGAGTTTCCAGCAGCTCAGCCCCCTTTCCCCAAGCTCTGGGCTTTTTAAAGGTGAAATAGTGTTGTGGGGGGGTTGCATATGCGAACATGAAGCAGAGATCCGGCTAATAACCCCCCGTGTAGTTTCAGTATTCACAGTTCAGATACATTTTAAATGAAATATAAATGCATTGCAACAGCTTTTTAATGAACATCATTAAAAAACATTGATTAATTCACAGTATTGTATTAAAAATACAGTGCTGACAGGCAACTACATTAAGGTGCTCCAAGCGTCTGTAGGTCCCAAGGACAAATGTGTAAATGGGGGTTGGGGGTTCAGCATGTGAAAATCGACAGAACCTGAAATACTGCAGCCTAATTAAACCAACCACAGCAGGCAATGACAACAGAAACAGCACTATCATTGTTTGAGTTTGTAAGCAGCAGCTAAAGTGAGAGATGATTTGACAGACAGCATTTAACTCATTAATGTCCAAATCTGACATTTAAAATGTCCCTTGGTCCACATGTTCTCTGAGCTTTCCACAAATCTAAAGAAATTCCTCAAACTATATGGCCAAAAGGGGAGTTTTTATCATTTAATTAATCATATTAAATTCAGTCTGTTGCTCACATGGAACTACTGATTTTAACAAAACAAAATCCAAATCTGACTGTAAATAAAAGTATGAAAATACAAGCAATCCAAAAAATACAAAAAATAATAATAAAAGAGGAGATATGTAAGTTTACACAACAACATCACTTTAGACGTTCAGAACAATTTCTGTACCATTTTTATTATCATACTAAATTTAGTTGCTAGTCATGAATGGGCTAAAGAAAGCTGACCCATTCAGGATAATACATTAGGAGCAGATTTAAGCTTTATTCAAGCAGATCTGCACTGTAGGATGTGGAACAGGGCTGAACACCACCCACCTGAAGTTGCGGAGGCAGATCCTGGAGAGCTCATAGTCTTCTCCAAAACCTGCTGGAGACAAGAAACGAAAGAAGAAAAAAACTACTACGTTCATAATGACAGCTTTCTAGGTCTGGAATGTATCATAATGTGTTAAACACAATATCTGGTGGGTTAACAATATTTCACATTTCTTGCACCCCACTATTGATCTGTTTTCCAGATTTGTACTAACAAGCAGCCTCCTTATAACCAATAAGCTTAACCAAGATAACTGTTCATTTTGAGTTCCTTTTAAAGGAGCTTTAGGTACCACTGACTACAGGCTGTTGGTACTGGCTGATACCATTGTCTATACCAGTATACTGGTATAAGTATCACACAATATTGATTTTTAATTTTAGCAGTATGGGTAGAAAACAAAAATGTAGTTAAATTCAATATATGTAATGTGATAGGTCTTTCAGATAAAAAAAACAACTAAATAACAACTAAATAAATTGTCTCTTTTTAGACTGTAATAAATGTGCTATATAAATAAACTTGCCTTGCCATGACTGAAATGATTTCTATCTGCTTAACATTTAAAATACTGTAAGGTTCCTTCTGGTGCACTTTTATAATAGAACAAAACAAAACAGACTAATCAAAACAGGTTATGTCAAGTTTGTAAGACAGTCCTTTAGCATGAAGTATCAGGATTCTGAACTATAAATGTGAAAAATAAATGTGCCAAAATCTTTCAAGTGACGGTTCTTTAGAGAACCATTTGTGTAAATGTGAGGACGAAATGTAAAGGTTCAAGGAAAAACTTTAAATTGGTCTACATCTATTGGACATTATTTAAAATCTTCAAACGGTTCTTCACATTCACAAATCTCTTTTTCAAACATAGGGAACCAAAAAGAGGTTCTTTTCTGGCATCGCTCAAAGAATTCCATGTGGCACTTTTTTGTAAGCATGTATGGGTTCATTGCCTTTGTTAATGCAAAAGTAAATATCATAAATATATCACAGTATTAAATACCATAATACTGTGATATATTTGGAAAATGTCATGATAAATTATCTCAGTACAGCACTAGGCTAACATAGGTTTACAGTCGTATACAAAAGCTTGGGTGCCTCAGTCAATTGAGATGTTTTGTTGATTTTCTAAGTGAAATTAAATTAACACATCCTCTACAGATAAAACACTTCTGCACATTTTAATGCACAAGTACTGTTTATTTACTGAATTTAACTTACTGGGGAAAAAATAAACATAAAATGTGGCAAGTACAAAAATTAAGGCACATTTTATATTTTATGTTTTTATTCCCCCTTATGTTAAATTTAGCTAATAAATAAAAATTGTGCACTGAAATTAGCAGAAAGAATGCCATATTTAAGTGTGCTCTCTGTAGAGAACGTCAGCTTGTTTTCACTTAGAAAATCAACAAAATGTAATTTGACCAGGTGTGTTCAAATATCAGACAGTATATTTGGATCTCACAGAACCTACTTCATGTGTCTCTTTTAGCCTAGAAAAGACAGAAAAATCACAGTAGGCTGTATGGTATACCTCTAAAGTAAAGAAGACACACACTAGGTAAATCATAATAATAAGCTGCACACAGTATGTGTGATATGTATTCAGTGCAAGCAGTAAAATAAAATAACAATAATAATAATAAAAAGCTTAGACTTCGAAGTTCGGCCTCAATGAAATCACTTGGTTCAAAGCAACAGTCCCCAAAGAAAATTTGAGAGAGATAAAGTCCCAGCAACACCAACCAGTACTAGTAAATAAAACATGAAAGCTAACACATAGAAGAAAGCTTCTACAGAAATAGGCTTACTTAGGCTACCAAGTGTCCCAATTTGTTAAACATCTCTTCCCTCACTACAAGCACATTTCTTAAGATCTCAGGTTTAGCTTATACCTGTTTTACTAAGGCTATATGTGGCTGTATGTGGAAAAACAGGACTGAGTTTTCCAAATTCTTTATTTCAGTTTTGCAGTGATGTTATCATTCAAGAACTGCCTTGGACAAAGACGCAGGTTCTTTGCAGACCTGCACTTAAGCACACTTATAAGTGTTTCTTGTATTGTCTTGTTAATGCATTAATCATGAATTTCGCCCCCTGGTGTCCATCTTTGGTAACTTCCACTCTGACTATAAGCTACTGAAATACTGAGGACTGGAAAGAGTTCATTCTCATCAGGTTTGTGAATTGTCAGAATTCTGTTTTTTTTTTTTTCCTGTTGAGTCCAATATATATATATATATATATATATATATATTTATTATATGGACAAAAGTATTTTATGACATCACATTCTAAATCCAATAAGGTATTAATATGAATAAATTCATATTAACTAAATTGATATCATAAGTATTAATATGGAGTTGGTCCCCACTTTCCGGCTATAACAGTTTCCACTCTTCTGGGAAGATTTCTACAAGATTTTGGGGTGTGTTTGGGGGACTTTTTGCCCATTCATCTAGAAAAGCATTTGTGAGGTCAGACACTGATAATACCACTCACAGTTGAGTTGAAATACCTAGGAGGGAAGAAATATCAGTGAGCTCTTTAGAACAACCCATTCTTTCACAAATGTTTGCTAAGCTAGACTGCATGGCTATGTTTTTTTTTTAATTTTATATACCTGTGGCAATGGGACTGAATAAAACACCTGAATTAATGATTAAGAGGTGTGTCTCAATACTTCTGTCCATGTAATGCATATAAATCACTAAATCAGTGAAAGTGTGTGTTATTTTCTGAAGAAATATTAAATAAATAAACGGCTGGATGTGAGCCAATGAGCGCACGCGCGCTCAGTTACGTAGCAACCCGGAAGGCAGAGTCGCCTACACCGCTTCACTGAAAACCATTTCATAAACTGCGTAATTTTGTGAACTAAAGTTTATACTGCTAATACTCTACGCTTGGGATTTTTTAAAACGGGTTTAACGTCTTTGACGCGTGCAGAAGTGTGTAAATGAGTCGGCAGTTTGTTTTTAAATAGGGGAGGCGTAAACGCTGCTTACCAGTTCGCCATCGTCGCGGTAAATAAATCGGTTTCTAAGCAGTGGACGTTCAGGATGTCTTGAAGGAGGAGGAGGCGAGCTCAGCGCGGTGTAGTGGGCTTTCCTGGCCGATGCTCGCCTGTGCTTTAGTCTGTGTGCTGCGATCACTCATAGTCCTCTCTGCTCAGCCCTCTACTAGCAGCAGAGTAAGATCAGATCACCTGGCCAGCGCGATGAGAGCGAGGAGGGCAGGACTGGACTGGAGGCTCTCTCTCTCTCTCTCCCTCTCGCAGCGGTAAATTAGTATCAACAGCCTTCTTTACCAAAATATGGGCCCTTCGATGTGTACCGAGCACAACCAACTCAAGAAAACACAATATTTAGCACAATCCAGTCCATACAATAGTGAATGGACGTGGAAGAAGAAACAAAACAAGTCCACAACAACACTGCGCCAGATAGTTACCTTAATAACAGCGCAGTGATGACTAGTATGGCTGAGTAGACAGAGCAGTGATTTTGTCTCCTTCTGCTGGACCTGCGCCCCTGATCATCTCATCCTTTCACTCTGTGTAGTCACGGGGTGATTGGCTGTGTGTGTGGTAGGAAGCACCAACTGCTTCTGTGAAAAATCCTGGAGTTTTACAGGAACAGTGGCTTCGAGAGCTGCTGTGATTAACTTAAGAGCTCCTTCTATATGTATGTACAGACTAGTCAGTGACTCTCTAATATACGGAGCAAGTTTGTAAAAAAAGATCAACACCATAAACGTAGCAAAACCTGGCAAACTGGCTCTCCGCATTTCCACGAGAAATTAATCTTGATCATTGTATTGTGATCTAATCTATAGATATTAAATAGCCTCTTGAGAAATGTTGAAATGATAAAAAAACAACTTAAGAGTTTAATAACACATTTTATTAATCAGGTGGTTCGGTTTTTAACTACTTGTACAAAAAGTTTTGAGATTTTTGTAGGTGCAAAATACTTTTCATAATGATTGTATTGAAAAAAAATTCCAAGTAAATTAGTAGTTGCAATTGTCCACACAGTTTCGCCGGTAAAATCAAACTAGAATCTATTAAAACGGTGCTACAAGGTCATTTATTTATGCGTGTATTAATTAGGTAGAGAGAACATGTGGAGCTGCTAAATAACAAAACTACACTTCCCATTGTGCACTGCGAGCAGGAGTAACGAAAACAGGAAGAACGCGTTTACAAGGAAATAACAGTCAAATGAATCAGAGAGGAGCGACATGTCTAGGTTGAACGGTCCGATAACGAACCGCTTGGCCAAATGGATAACATAACGGGCTCCGTTAATCAAATGTAGGCAACGTACGCGTCCCAGCAGCTCAATTACTCCCGTTTCAGCAAGGAATTTCCTTGTCGTATGATGGAAAGGGCGATGGAGCAGCTAAACGTGCAGCTGAACCGGCTGACGCGCTCTCTGCGCCGCGCCCGGACAGTGGAGCTCCCCGACGGTAAGACCAAGAGAAACACCCACACATGGCGTGTAGCCGATTATTTTGCCTTTCATAGGAGTGTGACCAAAGCCCCCGTTTGTGGCATCCAGTTCATACTAGCAGTCAGGCCCACACACGCTAACTTAGGGCTTTATTAAACTGCTTTCAAGTGCTATTTTCTTTTATTGTAATTTTCTGTATAATGTCATGGAACAACAGCAAGGCCCACCGCAATTTTGCTTTTATAGACTTAGACTAAAGGCTCACAAGTGAAAGTGGTGGAAGTGATCTCTTTACCATCACTTTTGAATAGAATCTGAGATCTTTCCCCCTCTCTGATGTCCAAACATGGGCCCGCACTCATAAACATCACTCTTCATAGTCCTTATGTACTGCTTTGGACATTGATGTCTAAAGGGAAATGTAATATCTGTGTTTGGACATGTTGAGACTCACCTAAAGTCATTGTTCCGTCACTTCCTATAGACAATGAGACAGCTGTCTACACACTCATGCCTATGGTGATGGCTGACCAACACAGGTAGGCACCTATGGGAACTAATAATTGGTTGATGAATCTGGACTGTGAAAATATAGCACTACACTGTATTTTTAATGAGTTGTAAAACTGACACTCAATGTTTACTCCTATAGATCAGTCTCAGAATTGCTCTTGAACTCCAAGTTTGATGTCAACTATGCATTTGGACGTGTAAAAAGAAGCCTTCTTCATATTGCTGCCAAGTAAGGAGCTATTTGAGTGTGTCATTGCGTGTGTGATTTTTACTCCTCAGTGCAGAATATTTGAAAGTCCTCTTAGCTCCAATGCGTCGCACTGGACACTGACAGAGTCAATTGAGTCGCTGTGTTGAGCATACATCAGCTGGGTGGCTACATTTATGATTTCACTGCAGCTCTTTTTTTTATCTCTTTTCAGCTGTGGGTCAGTGGAGTGTTTGGTCCTGCTGCTGAAGCGAGGAGCAAACCCCAACTACCAAGACATTTCTGGATGTACTCCACTCCATCTGGCAGCAAGAAATGGGTAGAGTGCTTCTCTGAGAGTGATACACTACTGCCATCTACTGATCACAAAATATTCCTAATTTAACATGCAGCCTACCAGCATAGCACTACTAGTTACTACTACTAGTAGTATTATGACTGCTATAACTACTACTACTACTACTACTTCTACTACTAATAAAAATAATAATAGTAGTAATAAGAAGAAGACTAAAACAATCCCCTGGCTCAGCCAAACGTTTACTTTACTTGGTACTGATATTGGTGCCATGACAATGATAATAGCTCTTGTACTAATTTTGACAGACAGAAGAAGTGTATGGGTAGACTATTGGAATACAATGCGGATGTCAATATCTGCAACAATGAAGGCCTGACTGCTGTAAGTATGCTGATGATACTTGTTTTTGTTGTTGTTAGCTGTTTACATCTAAAGAACTATTAATAATTAAGGATTTCGGGTTTGCAAACTATTAGACACTGAAATTTCCTAGTACAGGTTGCAGGGCATTTTCTGCAGTGTGGCAGAAATATGAAACTATTTTTCCAGGTCACAGAGAGCAGCAAAGGTTTCTAGTGTCATACATATTGGCTGTTGACATTGTGATTGGTCTAAATGCTGTTGTGGTATTGACTGTGCAGTCGCTTCATCTCCTCTTTTCTTTTTCATTCACCATGTCTGTAGATTCACTGGCTGGCAGTGAATGGGAGAACAGAGCTGCTTCATGACTTGTTGCAGCATGTGTCCAATGTGGATGTGGAGGATGCTATGGGTCAGACAGCCTTACATGTGGCCTGTCAGAACGGACACAAGACTGTAAGAAAATATTTGCTTCTTACAAACTGACAAATTTAATAGACACAAGAACTCTAAGGGACATATTTACCTTGATAGCATTATGATGTTTAGACTGTTACAGGCCACACTACAGTTTACACTGTAAAGATCAGCGTACACCCAACAGACAAACACAAACATTCTGCTGTCTACATGGCATTACAGTGTTTAGATAAGGAACGAACAAGCCAAAGGAACCAAAGTAAATAGGAGAGAACATTCTAGATTGTCCAAACAATCAAAGATCGGTATTGCGTACCATCCAAATGTTTGTACTTGCTTGGTTTGTGAGATCTCTGAGAAACTATGTTGAATGCAAGATTTTATGAATTCTGTTATTGTACCATTGCATTTGTAGAAGTTAAACAGGAAGCTTTTCATTACAGTCTGATTCTTAAGGACTAATAAACATGTTGACTTTTGTATTGATAACACAGTATTCAGTTTTGCATGGCTGAAGTAAAGTAAGCTAACAGTGAAGGTAATGTAATTTTTCTGAAATTTGTTATGCCATTTTGGCTAGTTCTGTATTAGCATCAGGTGATGTAAATTCTTGCTGTGAGGACCAGATAAGGCTGATCACTCTGTAACTAAACTGTTTGGTTCTATTGCTGGGGCTTGGTTTGGTTTCAAGACCGTACAGGTGATTCTCCTGGAAAGAGTAGCATAGTTTATCTCTAAGAGAAAAAATGCATTAAAGATTTGAGGGAATTTGCAAGACATTCAATGTGCTATAGAACAAGTAAGGGAGAGACACAGTTTGTTTTTTTGTTAATTAATTTTAAAGGTATTTGAGGAAGATTGATAATTTCTTTATATTAGCAGTCATCTCTGCTAAAAATGAAAAGTGAGCTTTGTTTCTAGCACCATTTATGAACAATTTAGGCAAAAGTGGAATGAGTGCAAATATTACAATTTACCCCCAAGTCTAGGCCTGTCACAATTATTATGTAATTGCATAATCACAATTATTTGAACTAATTTAAACTAACCACAGTTATTTTCTACAGTCATGTTTATATTTCACAATCAAACTTTTATATCATAACGAACAGCTTGAACTAGGTGCATTTTCATCCGAAGCGAATGTTCATAGGTAAAGAACAGCATATCATGGGTCCTACAAAACAACAAAAGTTCTAACTTCTGACTGGTGCTAGAACACCTTTTAGAGAGCAGTAATGAGTGTGTGTTTATTTGAGCTTGAACTGTTTGTCAGTTGGGAGCTACTAAGTATCGACAGCTAGGAACCAAACTAATCAGCTAATTTGGCCACTTTAGGCTTGTACTTTAATAGGTACATACACTGAAGATTAAAAGACAATTCGGTTCTTAATTGCAGTTACATATATATGGAAATTAATTGTCAGCTAAAATTTTGTGATAGTGACAGACCTACCTAAGATGGGGTTAATTGTAACAGTAGGTGGTAACTGTTGATTAAAAAAAGTCTAGTGAATTGATGCAAGCGCAGTTCATTCAATACAATTTTTTCTTGTTTGATCCAGACAAGCTTTTCAACCTAATAACAAAAACATATATGCATCAAAGTAAATATAATATACATGTAATGTATATAAAATTATGTTTTTGATGAACCTGTGTATAAAAAAACTTAACAGAAACTAACTGCTTTGAATTTATATGAAAGTGAATGTGGACTTTTCCCATTGTTTCTCTAGGAAAGCTTTGTTATAACACTGCATCACACCTAACCCCACTGTGTGGAGGCCGTACTTTAGCTGTTACTGTTTGTTGGTTACAAACAAAACAAGGCTGTGTAACAGACACCAAAAGGAGGATTGAAATAATATAGGTGTAAATTCCGTGACTTATACATAGAAACACTTATGATGAAAAATGTTACTTATATAGGACAAAAACGGTTTTCTGGGTCAATCTTGAGAAATATGTCTGATTGCTGTTAAAATTCACAGAAGACTTTCCTAATGAAATACGAGAAAGCCTGTTCTACTCGGACTAGGTTGTCCCTACTCTCCTCTATCTAGTGATTGGCTTCATTCGTTACTTTTTCATTAATATAATCAGCAGCTTTGGCCATTAAAGCAGAGTAGGAGAATCCAAAAATTATTATTATGACCAATTTGTAGCTTAGTGTAAGCTTTGTGAATAAGACATTACCCATTACAGGCTCGTTCTCTGTTCGCTACAGCCATGTATGCTGTCTGCTGATAGTGTGGGTGTTTGTTGTTTTCCGCAGACAGTGTTGTGCCTTCTGGACAGTGGAGCAGACATTAACAGGCCCAACGTCTCTGGAGCAACACCTCTCTACTTTGCTTGCAGGTCTGTAGGATAATCTTCATTGTCCTCATTATTAATAAAAGTAAAGTGGTTGCTGTATTGTGTGCTTTGAAATGATACGCCTCTAGTAGCAAAGTAGCAAGCAAGTATAATTCAGCCTCTGAAGACCTCATGCTTACTATTGTGCTGTAATCCCCACTGCTGCCTGTTCCAACTGTGTGTTTATAGTAGTGAGTTAAAAGTAACAGGAGGAAACCTATCAATCTCTGCCACAGGGGTAGACTAATGAGGCTGCCATTTGATGAGAATGCAGCAACTGACGAGATGTCCAATCTGCTTTTGTTTTTCCTTGTGTATCGTGCCTGACACACTTGGATGAGCTGCGTTGCCGAGCAACAGCGCTCCTCCATTCTCTTGTTTCAGTTACAAATGGCAGTAGATATCTGTCTGCTTATAGTTGCTTATACACATCCAAGAAAGGCTGCTTTTTAAATGGATAATCCAAGCACGTAATTGAGGCAGTGTTCATTAAAGGGGTTCTGAAAGGTTTAGGGCCTGCATTGTCTTTCGTATTTGATACTGTCATTCATGATGCGTAAATTTGTCAGCTCCATTGGATGATGATAACTGTCTAGAGTCCATCCATGTATTGTAATTATATGAAATATTGAAATATAAACTAAACATTTACAGTGTAGTAGTGTGTAGTTGTCTGATCCATCATATGCTATATGTTGAATACAGCATTTTCACTTCATATAGAAAGTTCAGAGAACTGAAGTCAAGCCTTAATAGAGGTACTCTTTTATTCCTCAGTCAGTTGTAATACTTAATTAAAAGAGCATTTAGAGTATTTAGAAAATAAAAGAGTATTTATAAAAGTAAATGTGTAGCAACGTATATAATTACTGCACAATACTGTGGTATTTGGAGAGCACTGGGGAATTTGGAGATGGTGTAAAGTGTATTGTTGTGTTGTCAGAAGGTGCGTCATGTGATTGTGAAATTTGTTTTTTTGTTTGTTTGTTTGTTTGTTCTTTGCATCTTGTGGATGTGGGTGTTCACGTAGTGGAGCCACAGTGATGCAAGACAAATTTCAGATAAATCTGACAATGAAGAGTGTATTGTATCAAATTACATCATATTTATTTGATTTGGTGTTCACACAATAGCCAGCCCATATTAGCACGGTCCTTCAAGCGTGTTGAGGCACCTGGTAATCCTGCATAATAAAATCATGCAAAACTCATGTGGTTGAGGCAACAGTGCAAGTAGTACTGTCATGTGATATGGATAAGAGTAAAGGATGTTAAGAGCAACAGTGCTCCCTCCATACCTGAATTTGCATCAAGTGTATTCTATTGTTATATGCAAAACACAATACAAACACTGTCTCTTTTTCTCTCTCTCACTCTCTCTTGTGTGTATATATATATATATATATATATATATATATATATATGTGTGTGTATGTATATATATATATATATATATATATATATATATATATATATATATATATATATATATATGTATATATATATAAATCCATTCTTCCTTCTACCCATGCAATGTTTCACCAAACCATAATAGATCCTCCCCCATGCTTAACACTTGGCAAGGTGTCCTTTTCATTAAATACTGCTTCTTTTTTTTCTCTAAACAAATGTTGGAGCTGGATTTTGACTTCATCGGTCCACAGCACTTGTTTCCAAAATACCTCTGGCTTATGTAGATGTTTGTTTTGGATTCTTCAGATGTTGACTTTTGTGATGAAGTACGTATGGTTTTCTTCTGATGACTCTTCCATGTAGATCATGTTTGTCCAAGCAATGTTGCACAGCAGAACCACCACTCCTGTGTCAGCTAAAACCTTTGTTTTCATATGGGGGTTTGACATTGCCTTTTGGGCCAGCGTACGAGCAATTCTGTCTGAGCTTTCTTTGTCTTCCAGTGGAAATTGCAAGGTGCAAGCACTTTGGTATCCTTTCTATAGCTGTCTACTGAGTTGTAGGCATCGAAAAGTTTCATTTTCAGATCCTCAGAGCCTGCTGCTTAGGGAAACCCATGGTTGTTGAGTGTTTGCACAAGGTTTGAAGGGTTAAGAGAGATTATTATGCTCTGGAATTGTCCTCAGTTCCTAATGACAATTCTTGACCTGCCTGACCAGTCCTAACAAGTCACTTAAGGCCTAATGAGTTTTACCACAACGAGACTTATCACAAAGAGACTCACATGCCACGATTTTTTTTTTTTAAAGTCTTCTTCCTTTTTTCAAATACTTCTTTTCACTTAAGAAAATCAGCTAAATGTGTAATTTGGTCCAAACCTTTGCATACAACTGTAGGTGATGCTGGTATCTGGAACATATTATATGCATCAAGATAGCATGCATCTCACATGCTTAAACAAGATATCATCTACCTCTCTGTCTTACAGCCATGGCCAGAGGGACACAGCCCAAATCCTGCTCCTCAGGGGTGCCAAATACTTGCCAGACAAGAATGGAATCACGCCACTTGACCTTTGCGTGCAGGTGAGTAGCATATACAGTGTACACAGACACAGATATAGGTTTTTACACACAATCTCATCATCCTCTGCCCCTATTAAGGGTGGTTATGGAGAGACATGTGAGATTCTGATTCAGCATCACGGGAGGCTTTTCCAGACCCTTATTCAGATGACTCAAAATGATGACATAAAGGAGAACATGGTGAGACATTTATGTTGCCTTTTTTAATATTTTCATACTTATAACAATATACAACAACAATATATGTGTGTACATGTGGTATATGTGTATGATTCAGCTCAGGCAGGTTCTTGAGCATGTATCTCAGCAAAGTGACTCCAGTTATCAGAGAATCCTCACCAGCCTGGCTGAGGTGGCCACCACCAATGGACACAAGCTGCTCAGGTAAGGCTTTACCCTCTGCCTAAAGTTTCTTTACCTTGCTCTCAAAGCTTTTTGTAAAGCATTCTTCTCCTGCATATTTTTCTCCGTTTTAGTTTGTCTAGTAATTATGAGGCCCAGATGAAAAGCCTGCTGAGAATCGTGCGGATCTTCTGCCACGTGTTTCGCCTCGGTCCATCATCCCCTAACAATGGGATTGACATGGGATACAATGGGAACAAAACCCCACGCAGTCAGGTCTTCAAGGTCAGTGTGTGACACATTGTCATCTTTACTACAGTAGGAGCTACACTATATGGCCAAAAGTTTGTGCTCATCTAGTGTCCATCCAATGTTTCTTCCAAAATCAAGAGTATTAAAAAGGAGTTTGTCCCCCTCTGGTGCAGTAACTGAACTTTTCAGGGAAGGCTTTACACTAAATGTTGGAACATGGCTGTGAGAATTTGATTGTATTTAGCAGCTGGAGCACTAGTGATAACAGGTATTGATGTTGGATGATTAGGTCTGGATCACAAATGCCACTCCAAAGGTATTGGTCATTGTTCCATGACTCAGTTCCACTACTCTACAGCTCAATGCTGGAGGTCTTCATACCCCTCTAGCCTTCGGGTTGGCATTGGACAAGGTGACCTTAGGCTCATGTGCCAGAGCTTCCTGTTGTTTTGTCAATGCTTTTGTTTGGAGATCGTACAAGCTCTGTGTGCATTTGAACCCCTGAGTCAGCAGTGAGTACACCCTAGTGAGAAGGGGTGTCCACAAATGTTTGGAGATGTAGTGTATTAACATTAACTCATTTTTTAGCATCAGAGGTGCAGTGGAGCAATTTTTCCTGAAGAGGGTGCTAGCTGCTCTTCTAGAGAAACTTGTCAGAATTGTTCACAGCGGTGATGACAGGAACCAGACATATCAGTTTAATGCCTCTGGAAGTTACGTTGCAGAAAGTTATTACATGAAATCATAAAAGAAATACATAGCCTGATGTGTCAATTATGAAATGTATTTTTAAAACCCATGCATGATGGAGAGGTACATTAAGGATGTTGCAATGCAAAATAGTACCCACACTTCTGACTATTTTATTTTATCTGACTATTTTATTTATATATATATATATATATATATATATATATATATATATATATATATATATATATATATATATATATATAAAACTCAGAAGACACATGTAGGTTCACAGGTAGTTTTTCATAGTAACCAAAATAGTTATATTTGTGTTGTAGACACAGAAACTGCTAGTTCCTATCACCCCACCACTGTAAAGGAATCTGAATAAGTACGTTTCTCTACAATGAACCATTTCACATCAAACCACTCTGAATGATTTTGTTTACATCTCAATGATAACTATGGAAATTATGAAAAATGGTTCGAATTCCCCATTAAACTCTAAGCAAACATTTGCCATTTCTGAGGATCATTTTCAAAGGTCCTACAGTAGTGTTATATATTCCTCCTTCTCCTCTTGAAGCTATCGGTCTTCCCCATCAAAGATATCAATGCTGGAAAAAAATATCTTCTGTATACTTTCTGTGGATGGATTTTGGTTATATCATTAATATTCATACACCTGTCCCACTCAGCTGCCTTGAAATGTTTACTTTTAGGTGATGCAATCAAATTTAGATGAGTGGAAGTCTTGATGATCTAACATAGAAAAATGGCCTGAAATAAGACAAGAAAATAAGAGGTGGTCTAACAGGCAGAATCTGACAAAACTGACAACAGAATTGTCAGAAGTTTTGCTGAAAGTTATTCATTATGAGGTTATACTAAGGTATTTTAGGAATCTACTTTTTTGTTGAGCTGACTGAATTCTTTTTACTTTAATAACTGATCATTAAAGTACACGGTTGTCAGACATTTTTATTTTTTGCTTGTCTAGAGTAAATTACCTCATGTTCCTTTCTACCTGTTTTTAAGATGAGAAACATGCAGATTTGCCCTGCCTCTGATATATCATTGTTGTTCCTCAGCCTCTGGAGCTGCTGTGGCACTCTCTGGATGAGTGGCTGGTGCTCATCTCCACAGAGCTGGACAGGAAGTGTGGAGACACCGCCTCCTCTTCTCCGGGTAGTGAAATTGCCTCACTGCTTCTGAAGCAAAGGGAGACTGACCCCTCTGTTTCCACGGAAACCCCTGCCCTGCTGCCCCCCTCGCTGGACCCTGAGGTTGTCATGAAGACGCCGGAGGCTTATGTGGATGGTCAGGATGTCATCTCTATGACCGCCAATCGTCTGAGTGCTGTAATCCAAGCCTTCTACATGTGCTGCTCATGTCAGATGCCACAGGGGTAAGAGTGACCCTTCACTACTCACCCTCACCCTTAGACCTTAGAGTTAATTCCTTAGCTTAACCCGCTTAAAGCATACATTCGCTACCTCATGAATCTTAATCGATCTAGATATGCAGGAAATTTTAAACCAAGAAGGCAGTGTGTAAAATTAGTCCAAAGTGATACTAGATTTCAAATCATTTTAATACAATTATCTACATTTCTATTGTAGATGGAAGTGTTATTGCTCAATTTTTGAACCATCTGTTACACAATTAAATGTGTTGATGATTAACAGGATAACAGCTTTTCTGAGTGTTAAGGTCATTGTTTTATTCACATTCATATTTACTGAACACCTGGCATACATTATATTCCTATCCTATACATATACATATCTGTTGTGTTGTACTGGAAACTCCAAAAGGTATCAAAATGTCCATCAAAAGTGCAGCAAGCACAGGCTGTTTCCACCAGTGCTCAGCAAAACAATCTGCCTCCAGTTTTTCCTGGAAGTTGTGCTTACCAGATGAGGGGCCGGGATGCTACTGTAGGCCAGATCTTGCGTAATAGATAGCAAGAAAGTGCAAATTGCTTATTTTTACAGCAGGAAATATAAGCCAATTGGACAAATTTGTGATCTCGTACATAAACAAAAGATATAACAATGTTTGATGGTTATTTTGATGTTATAGGAGCCTTCTGCTCACAGACCCAATGTACTTCATTTGGTGTAATAGATACAGATGTGAATGTAAATATATGTAGATGAGGCTGCTAGTGAATTACAGACATTTCTGTTGAGTGTGCAGTAAGTGTGCTGAGCAATGTGTGCCATTCTCGTTAGGTATTTTAAAAAGCACATATATTGTATTTGTCAAAATTCTACAGGCTTAATACTGTGTTAAGGTCATTCCCAGCTTAAAGTGTCTGCAGCAGAAAAGCTATGACCAAAAAAAAAAACTGTGAAGTGTACTGTAAAATAAAAGGTTTTGTTTGGAGTAAGAGAATGTGAACACAAATGAGATTTTCCTCCACTGTTATTTCTCGCCTAAACAACATGAATCTTTTCATCAGAGTTCCCCTCTGTGTAAAAATCACTGAAATAAATGAGCAAATAATGTCTTCTCTCACTTATCTCCACAAGTTTCCCCTGAAGCTTTCTAACTGCACGCAATTAGAACATTAAATAGGTCTTTAATTAACACTGAAATTGCTGATTTCTTTATTGGCAAATTCTAGTGAGATGTCTCCTCTCTTTATTTATTATTTATTTATTATTTTAATTTCTGTGTTTGCTGAGGGATCAATGGCTGCACTGAGACCGTGCAGAGTATCTGTATAATTAGAGGCCCATTGCGTTGATTCAGGCCTCAGACAAGCTATTTTTCCTAGTACTTTGTGCACCAGCCTTTTGTCTATGTAAAAATCTATTCTTGGTTTGTTTCTCTCTTAACTTGCCTAGCATGACGTCCCCTCGGTTCATTGAGTTTGTGTGTAAACATGATGAGGTGCTCAAGTGTTTTGTCACCAGGTAAGTGAAGATTGCTTTTCTGTGACTTTGAAGTCTCCCTGTCCACCACATTGTTAATGTTTCATCTTTGCGTCTTCTGTTGTCTCATTCTCTTTCCACAGGAACCCCAAGATCATCTTTAACCACTTCCATTTCCTGCTGGAGTGTCCTGAGCTCATGTCTCGCTTCATGCACATTATCAAAGGCCAGGTACACTGGGTGACGGGCAGGTTAAAGCAGTGTTCTGATTGGTTTCCAGTGTAGCTCTTCATCTCATTTCTCTGAAGTGACTTTCTATGCTACAGCACTCTTGGGGCTCGTGCTGGAGTGACTTTCAAACACCTGTCTCTCTCTGCCAGGATCATTTAACTGTGTTATTATGCCGCAGATAACACTTGTCTTAAGTCCCGTTATATAGCTTTGTAAGTTTTAAGTGCCGCTTCACTGTGTAGTGTTCGCCGAGTTTTCAGTATTCATATTTGAGCGCCAGCACTCTGAGCCTCGTTACCTCCAGATTATAGTCCGCTGGGGAATACGGTGCCGTTTTAATTACAGATTTTAACCTGCCGAATACGATTTCATCTCCTGATTTTCCTCTTCTTGCGCTCCTGGTGCCCCTGGGGGAAGGAGTTCCTTTCAGTCGGATTAATTTCTACCTCTTGCAGACTTCTCCCTCTTTGCATCAAGAACAAAGCCATTCAAATATTATGCAAATGGATTGCAGTTTTCCCCCTCCATGTAGCTGAAGAGTTTCTCTTCCCCATCATCTCTCCTTTACTCAGGCAGGTTCTGTGCTTTATAGTGTAATGAGTGGGTGATTAATAGACCAGACTTCTCTAAGGCTCAGGTATAGGGCTTCAGAGTCTAATCAATATGAGGAAGTTTTAATTACCTTTTTTGCTCACCTCCTCCGCAGCCCTTTAAGGACAGGTGTGAGTGGTTCTACGAGCATCTTCTAGCCGGGCAGCCTGACTCGGATATGGTCCATCGGCCGGTTAATGAGAACGACATCCTACTGATTCACAGAGGTGCTGGAATTTATACCGTTTGTGTTTGAAGGCTTCTGCCTCTGAGCAGATTCCCTTTACGTACTCACTCTCTAGAGCTCAAGAGCTTTAATCCATCCCTCTTTATCCTCCCTCTCTCAGAGTCTATATTCCGCAGCAGCTGTGAGGTTGTGTCCAAGTCTGCCAATGAGAAGCTCAAGCAGGGCATCGCTGTGCGTTTCCATGGTGAAGAGGGAATGGTCAGTCTGAAACACATCGCTTGCGAGTCATCAACAGACACACCTATCTTAAGTTCTTCAGCTATTTTCAATTTTGCTGTGCTTCATTGTACATCAGAATGCTTGCACCATCAGAATAATCAGAGCCTGCTGTTCATGCTGTGATGCAGCGTTTACAAACAATCTTCTGCTGGTGACATTGGCAGATGGTGCTCATACTGTCCTCTTTCTCTCAGGGTCAGGGGGTGGTTAGAGAGTGGTTTGACATTCTCTCTAATGAGATCATCAATCCAGACTATGCTCTTTTCACACAATCAGCAGATGGTAAGCAACATTGTAACCATAACTGTATAACGTGCTGACTGTTAATATGAACCTTTGTTGAGCTCTGTGCTAGCCTAATGCAGTATTTCTGTTTGTTCCGTGAGTGTTGTGTGTATGTGTAGAGATGGGCAACATGGCAATATGTCATCATCATATTGAGATTATCATGTATATCATGAGAACCTTTAGTATTTATAGAACACTGAACACCGATTCATGTTTCATTAATGTATTTTAACCAATAGTTTTATTTTTCTACTTAATTTACATACAATGAGGAAATTACACAGAAGATAATCCACTGTTATAAGAAATGGGAAAGTCAAAGGAAAGTAACTGGAAAAAGTAGAGTTTCCAAAACTAGAATTCAAATGATTTTTTACATCTGGAAAAAAATCCACAGGTGTTTCTGTCCATGCTTCCACTGTGCAAAGCCAACTCAACACTGAGTCTGAAAGGATGTGTAGCTGTCATGAAAATGTTGGTGAGAAAAAGAAATAGAAAAGAAAAAAAAACAGATAAGAACCAAACGATGACGTGGATAGTGTTTTCAGAACAATGGGTTGATTACTCCAGATCCCAGAACTCAACATCATTGAATGTGTTTGGGATTACTTGGATTGTGAGAAGCAGAAAATGCAACTTCTGAGGCTGAACTTTGGAGGTGTGGAAAAATGTCCCTGCAGATTTCTTCTAAAACTGAAATCAGAAATTAGACAGAATGGAAACTGTAATAAAGGTAAAGGACGGACAGACAAAATGCTGAATACAATGATATTATACTTAGTTGTTCTATTAAATATATGTTTTCAGCTTTTTTTCTGATGCTGGAAAATGAATAACTTGTACTCAGTGGCCATTTTGACTGGAAATAAAGAAGAGGGGTTTCTGAATTTTGTTCTTGTACTTTAAATGCAGCGCTGCTGTTTTGCCGGCTCTTGGTCATTGTATATTTTGACATTATCTTTAAAAATTGAATATAGTGAAGTATTATTTAATATTTGATTTATATAGTGAAGTTATATTTTTGCCATATTGTCCTACCTTCCCTTTTTTGTGTGTTCCCTTTCTTGAGTCTTTGATATTTTTCTGTTCTGATGTAAGTTTGCAAGTCTTGTTGCTATGACTTTGGCGTGTATTTATAGGGTCACTGATGGTTATGTGTCAGTGACTTTGAGCCTCTGAATCTTTGTCTCTCCTAGAGGTAATAGATAATTACATATGATGGGAAAGGAGTGCTACAGATCAAAGCTTTTTCCTGTGATTGTTCAGAAATACACCACTGCATGATTACAGTCCTTTGTTCTTATTCATTTGGAGTGTGTGTGCGTGTGTGTGTGCGTGGGCACTTGGGCATGTGTATTTGTGTACACTGTCTTTTACAGGCACTACATTTCAACCCAACAGTAACTCCTCTGTCAACCCAGACCATCTGAACTATTTCCGATTTGCTGGTCAAATCCTTGGACTGGCTTTGTATCACCGCCAGCTGGTCAACATTTACTTCACCCGCTCCTTCTATAAGCACATATTGGGTAATGCACACAAAAACACAAAGACATGGTAATATTCTTGAAATATTGAAGTAAAAGACCACAGTAGGATGTGCTTGTATGTGTACATATTTGCAGGTATCCCAGTGAATTACCAGGACGTGTCCTCCATTGATCCAGAGTATGCCAAGAACCTGCAGTGGATACTGGACAATGACATCAGTGACCTGGGCCTGGAGCTCACTTTTTCTGTAGAGACAGATGTGTTTGGAGCCATGGAAGAGGTTCCTCTCAAGCCTGGAGGAACCAGCATTCAGGTCACCCAAGAAAACAAGGTGAGACTGTAAACAGATATGCTTCAGTTACTGCCAACCCCAGTAAGCAAGGAAAAATAAAAACGTAGGCAGTTCACATATTGACATCCCACTGTTTGGCCAAATCTCTCAATTGGTTTTATTTGCTAATGTGAATGTATTTGCATGCACAGCATTTACGTATGACGTTAGAGCTTGCACAGTAGCTGAGTTAGCGGAAACCTTTAGACGAAGGTTGCCTCAGTATTCCCACTGAGGGAAAATGTCAGCCTGTGGTTGTTGTATAAAGCTGTAATTAACCGAGAGATCAATAGAGGGCAGTATTATCCAGATGTTAATGCAGTACATGCAGTTCTCTAGGTTTTATTCCGGAACACAACCCTCACCCTCAGGAAAAGTGACGACGCTGTCCGGCTTTGTCTCAGTCCCCGTTTCTCTCTCGCTTGCACAGGCGGAGTACGTGCAGCTGGTAACAGAGTTGAGGATGACTCGTGCCATTCAGCCTCAGATCAACGCTTTCCTGCAGGGCTTCCACACCTTCATCCCTCCCTCACTCATCCAGCTCTTTGATGAGTACGAGCTGGTCAGTAGCTGATTCTTTCGAGGTTGCTCCATTCTCTTCTCAGTTCTTTTTTTCTTCTTCTTCTAGTTAATTTCCACACTATTTATTATACTTTTTTCTTTCTTATGCACTCTCTCTCTCTCTTTCACTCGCTCTCTCTCACAATTTTTTTCACTCTAATGAGTTCGATTTAATTTTGTTTCATTTGTTACAAAGCACTTTTACAAACTCTTAGGGATAAAATCTTCTGTGAGCATGCCAAAGATGGCAATGACAAAGAATATCTTTCTCGCAGAGAGTCAAAGAAACCTTGAGTGGAAGCAGCACTCAGAAGTTGGAATCCATTCTCCTCTGGCTATGACTATACAGAAAGCCAGATATTGTGGCATTAGAAGATTCATGCTGGAAGCAGACAGATTTATTAAATTTAGTCAGTAAAGATTAAATTGAAAAGTGCAGTCTGGGTGGATACATTTTAAATATTAGGAGATGTATACTGAGGATTACTAGTTTTTATATTGTGCTGTATTTGCGCAGGGTAAGTTTGAAGAAATGAAGATATCTGAGTAACCCTTGTCAGTGTTGCATATCTAAATCTCATGGGCATGACCCTAGGGCACGGATAAGGAATTGGAGATGAGATATGCATTAGTCATGAATCTGCAAAGGCAGGAAATGATACTGTGGGGAAAAAAATAACAGGGTTTAGTGTGGTGAGAACCTCCATGGTATGATGAATGAAGCTCCAAGGCAGTGCTGGGGCATATTCAGTGGGCCACGACTGAGGATACGTGGGCAGACAACTACATAAGCAGGATGTGCCGGCATTTTTGTGGGTAATGCTAAGGTATGGGTGGCTGGTTCATGACATGGCTGGGTCCACTAGGAGGAGACATAAGAAAGAGGAAACAGATAGCTTGTTACATCTGTTGGGAGCTTTTAGGCCACCATGCGCACCTTATGTTAGCCACTCCAGCAGGCTTATGGCATAATTAGAAGGGATAAGCATAATGATGATGACATAATTAAAAGCGAGATCTAGAGGCCAGTGTGGGTTTACAGACTCCTTGAGACATCAGCATCTCTGTATGCTGTCCGCAAACTTGAATCAGTGCATGTGAATGGTGAAGGCAACATCACTGATGACTCAGTTCACCAGAAATATCCAACAAAAGTCCAACATCACTGCTTTATTTAGGGGTGGGCAACATGACTATATGATCATACTCATGGTAAATTAGCATGTTAAGCCAGGTATTTCGTTGATGTCGCCAATACTTTAGGAACATCGATCAACCTCATACTTCATTAAAAGACATTCAAAGGGAAACTCCTGTTGTAAACATGCCTACCTCCTTCTTACAGACCTTTGGGTTGGATACTAGAGGCCAGGCTGTTGGATTTGTTTTTCCCTCCACTGGCTATTTCTTCAACTGAACTATTCCTTCAGTGTAAAGAAGACTGGTTTGTGTATCATCACTAACGCTAGCTACCAATATAGATATATTTATTAGCCTCGAGATATGTGGCTAGCAGCCAAGATTTGCTGAGTATCTTAGAGATACCCACTGGTTGTGTGATGTATTTGCATAATGCATGCTGGGTATTGTAGTCAGAGAACATTGATGGGCAAAAACACAAAAACTATACAAAATTGTCATGACACTTTATTTTGAGTGTTTTTTAAGACTTTTAGATGAAACAAAGACTCAACTGACTCGATAACATGTCAAAAACATATGGGGGTTAGGATTAGGTTCTGGGTTGAGGTTAAGGTTAGGGTTAGGATTAGGGTTAGGGTTAGGGTTAGGTTTTGGGTGAGGTTGGTTGAGGTTAGGTTTTGCGTTGTGGAAGTAATATATTGACAATACATCAACTTAATGTAAGACATGTATCAACAGTACATCTCCAAAGTATTTACTAGTTTATTCAGATGCTTCACTGCTGCTGCTTCACTGATCTGTTGTTGATATGTTACTGATAATCTGTTTAGTGATTTAGTGAGTTTATTGATCATCTACAATGGAACACTCCAAATAAAGCGTTACCAAATTTGTGAATTCTGTCAAACTGATGAGACTGAAGGATGTATTTTCTGCACTACAAAATAACACATAACAAATAACATAATAAATTCTAGTTTTGAGCCAGGATACCCCTTTAACAAGGACTCCCAATTGGTGTAGCTATTTAAGTTTTCGCCTTATTGACTGAGATTCCAGTCCAAATTCTGAAAAAGTCCATGAGGGTTTAATATTATCATTATGTTCTTTTGATAGCATTTTAAGTGTGGCAGTGCTTTTCTGCTGGTGTGTCTGTTCCAACTTATCAAACCTCAGAAAAAACAAAACATTGCTGGGTGTTCTGTATTGTGAAACTGTCTCTAAGTGTTGATATGTTTTTGCCACCCCTAGCTTTAATGTAGATTTGAGCAGAGATAGAACCCCAGTAAAGATAAGTGTTTTCTTGACCAAGAAGCTGTTTTATATGTGCATATACTTAAAGATGTGAGATTCAAACACTACCGGATGTATGAGAGTCTGTATGCATCTATATGAGTCCTGTCTGTTAGCAGAAAAGCTGTTCTAGAGTGGAAAGGAAAAAGCCCTTCCACCTGCCCTTTTTATCTGTATGCTAATTGCTAAAGCCTTCACCTTTTGATTGAATCCTGAGTGCAGGATTATGATGGGTGTGATAAGAATGATTAGGTAGCCAGTGGAAGGTAATGAAGTGGAATTAATGTGTTCAAACTTTATAGATCTAGTCTTTGTTTGTGAACGCTGTTTTTTGGAGGAACTTTGGAGTCAGTTTGAGTACAGTGGAACATCTGCCAGACATACATAGATCTTAGAAAGATGCCAGGCTATAAGAGCATGAATTAGGTTTTCAGCTTTGTGTAGAGAAACTATTGATCTCAGCTTAGTATTTATCAGACTTAATAAAAACACAGTTCTCATTATTTTTTTCATTCTATGTCTGATGTCTTGTGGAGAGACATTCTCTCTCTCTCTCTCTCTCTCTCTCTCTCTCTCTCTCTCTCTCTCTCTCTCTCTCTCTCTCTCTCTCTCTCTGAGGCATCACCTTGAGGGCCCTTCCGTTCATTCTATTTCACGCCTCTATTTCTGTGTATGTTCCAGAACGCAGGTGTGCTGTTTCCCTCTCATTCGCATTCTCTGAGTTTCTCTCTTTCTCTCCCTCTCTCTCTCTTTTTCTCACCCCCTGCTCTGCCCCAGATCGATGCTCTCCTAGGGCCATTACCGCACGGCGGGCCTCCAGTGCACATATATGTGTGGGCCCATTCCTTGGTCACACAGCTTCAGCAAGCCCACTGACAGGGCCCAGAGGGGCTAACTAATGAGGGCCTGTGTTTCAAAGCGCTTTTAGTCCCGTGATCTCTGTGTCTTTATTATCTGTCTCTTACCCGTCTAAACGGAACAGCAAGCGACCAGCGAAACCCTTCACGCAGAGTGCATGTTCAGTGATTAAAGGCGTTTTTCCAAGCTCTCCTCCATGCTGTACTTTGCGTGCGTGTCCTTTATGAAGGAGTTCGTGGGAAATGTCGAACACTTTGGGAGCAAAACCATGGCCGTGTTATGAGTCAGCCTGAGCGGGATGAGTTATTGATTAGATCTGTTGTTATGAGCTGCGTAGCTCTGTGCTGTACTCCTGGTTTTAAACGTGAATGTGTGTTCATGCGTGTGTGTGTGTGTGTGTGTGTGTGTGTGTGTGTGTGTGTGTGTGTGCATGCAGGAGCTGCTGCTGTCTGGCATGCCGGAGATTGATGTGATGGACTGGAAGAGAAACACAGAGTACACCAGTGGCTATGATACAGAGGAGCCAGTCATCCAGGTTAACAGCTGCTATGCCACATGAACATCACGCTCACTGACTTAAACTAATGAGCCATCTCTAATGATTTAGGACAATGAGACAATTTATGCAGATTTGTTGGCAAATTTTGCCAAAAATTCTGTGTGGACTTGGGTATATCAACATGATTCTGTTTAGGATTAAGTTATGAACTTATGATTCAGATGTAGATGGAATTAGGGTCTATTTGTAGGATTATATTTTAGAATCTGATTCCTTTTACAAGAAATTATTTGCCCAGAAAGTTTGTCTGAGATTTGTCACCTTGAGAATGTAGGAGTGACATGATCTGACATCACAGGTGCATTTGAGGAGTAATGTGTGCTTTCTTGATTTGCAGTGGTTCTGGGAAGTAGTAGAGAGTCTCACTCAAGAGGAGAGGGTTCTTCTACTACAGTTTGTTACCGGAAGGTAAGAGTTCTTATTATGCCTTATTCATGTCCATTAATGTGTTGGTAAATTACATAAATAACTGTAAACAGAATTTGTGAGCTTGCACCCCTTTAGTTAGAGGTCGGCAATTTGACCATGTTTTATCATTGTTGTGATGCATTTTGACACTTTTTTGAGTATTGTGCATATCATCAGTACATATATACATTGAACAATGCTTTGTGCAATGCAGTATGTGAAACACTGGATAAAAATCATTGTGTTGATACTATTTAATGCTAGATTTTAAATGTAGCATAGTGTGTTGTGTCTGGGTCAAAAGACATATTGTGCATTGTGAAAATGTCTGTAAGTAACGTGATAAGATATTTTTGCCATATCGCCCAGCCCTACTTTCAACCTTATTATTCCGTAGCTGCTATAAATTGTTCAGTAACTACAGTGAAATTAATATGGGCATAGTTTAGAAGGTTAAATCCATCTCTCAGTTCTCTGTATTTCATTTCTCTTTTTTCTTCCTCTCTTCCTAGCTCCCGTGTTCCACACGGTGGATTTGCTTTTCTCATGGGGGGCAGCGGCCTACAGAAGTTTACCATCGCTGCTGTGCCCTACACATCCAACTTATTGCCTACCTCTAGTACCTGGTGAGAAAGACAAAGACAAACGGTCCATTTATGCACCAGAATTGGTATTGTAGCATCTAGGAGCAGCAGAGGGCAGTGTGGCTCTTTGAGAGTCTAGCACTCATGCTATGTGACTGAACACCAGTTACTCTGTAGCCTGAACAAGGATATAAGAGAAACGATCACATAGACTGGGAAAAAAAAGCAGGAAGACACAGAACAAAAAATGCCACCCAGTGCTTAAAAGGGCAGTTTTTGTGTCATGGTGCAAGTCAAGCATATGCAACCCTGTTTGACTTGCTCCTCAATCCGCAACCGAATCACTCTGACTTGTCTTTCCATCTTTTCCAGTATCAACATGCTGAAACTCCCCGAATACCCCAGCAAGGACGTCCTGCGCGACCGACTGCTCGTTGCACTGCATTGTGGGAGTTATGGTTACACTATGGCATGATGCTGGCCCATCTGTTTTTTGCTGTGACGCCTGTTACATAGACACACACACAAACACACATGCCCACACACGTGAGTGTGTGTTGACCTAACTTCAGGGATATCTTCACACTCCTCTGACTTACTCAAAAGCCTTCGTTTGACTATATGGCATTATTTTAGATACGCAAATACAAAAGACTAAGGGCAAACATGAAAAGTGGATTAATACTTAACGCTAAAAATCAGTGTGCCAGTGACTCCAATCTCTACTGCCAGTGTTATGTGTCAAAGGTTTCTTTACTTTACTAAGTTGTATTCCAAGATATATGCTGTGTTTTATTTATACATGCTGTTTACTCTGCTGTGTTAGACCTGTAAGACATGTTTGTGTGTGCGCACACGCTCATATATTACAGTGTTACCGTTCTAAGAGAGTGCGAAACATGGCTGGAAATAATGTAGTCATTTTAGAACAAGGAGTATGTCAGGCAGCATGACAGTGCTGGTTTCTCGTATACATATGTACCCTCTTCTCCTGTGCGCTGGCAACGAGCCTTGAAAAATAATCTAGAACCTCCCTACTTGTGTCATGTCTGCTGTGCTATAGCCTTTGTACTGTCATTTGTTCATATCATTCAATATGTAGGGTTTTTTTTCCCCAATTGTCATGTGAAACTGAGAGAACAAATTGGATCAATGGTGCCAAAAACTCCTTGTGAATGCAAGTCTACAGATTCTGTTTTCTTGACAAGGTTTTTGTAAAAAAGGGACAATGTCATATCATTTTATGAATGTAGAAATTGTGTCCTTTGTAGGACTTACATTTTAAGTGAATCCTGTCATATGTAAATGTGGATATAGGTTTATATTTCTTAAAATGGATCGCTTTAATTTGGTTGTATATTTTTTTTGTTCTCATTGGTAAACAGACTGCTAATTGTATACATAATCTTTAAGGACCTTTGGGAAGATGATTTCAAATATTGAAGTATGTATTTTACTACTTTCAGAGTTTTATTTCATTGATTGTGTGAGTGTATGAGTGCTTCGGACAGTTATACCCTGTATAAGGGTAATGGGTCACAGACGTGGGGCTGTTCATACGGAAGTGTGCACTAAATTGCAGTTGGGCTGCTGTCAGCTAAGCCTTTCATGCCCGGCAAGCCTGCACTGGTAGATGGTGTACTTAGCATGTTATATACTGCAGGAATCAATCATCAGAGCTGCCTTATCGCTCTCATGTATCATGCGTTGTAGTGTTCTGTTTAAGGTCATGGTCATGAATGTTATGAGTGACTATTACAGCCCAAAGCTGGCTGCTGTTTCTCTCTCTAAGGACTGGCCAACTTGCCAAAAGCTGAAAAATAGAACAAATTAATAAATAATAAATAAATGAGTAAATAGTGACACATTACAATTTAATGTGCCACTATTTAAATTTTTAATATATAAAAAATTTTACTTGAACTGAAAATAGGATATATGTAACACGCCCATATTTTTTTCTCCACATTTAAAACATTTTTCTCCATTTTGTTTATTTTCAAAATTATGAAATTGGTTTTAATAAACAGGCTTTATTTTAATGGTCCCTTTGAACTTATCTGCAAATGTTAAAGTATCTGCTCATTATACATAGCAGTAGACTTAGGATTTTGGTTTAAGTTTAAGGTAACAGAAAGGTTAAATTGCATAGATGTTTAGTTGAATGTCAGTTAAAGGCAAATGGAGCATCTTTTATCCCAAATGGAGGAAAAATATATGTACATATATTTGTTCATTTTAAAATATATGTGCTAAATATATTATAAATCTGTGCCATTTTTTAATATTTCAGTATATACCAGTATATACACATACAGTCATGCAAAGGTTTGGGCACCACTGATCAAAGTACATGTTTTGTTAATTTTTTGTTCTAAGTGAAAATAAAATTTTCACAACATTTTAAGTACATCTTCAGTACATTTTAATGCACTATTTGCTGAATTTAACATATTGGAAAAAACTATATATATTTTTTTTTCTTATGAAATTCAACTAAATAGAAAATGGCACTAAAATTGACAGAAAATTACCATATTTGAATTAGTTTACTGTAGAGTTCACTTAATCAATAAAACAAAATATGACCAGGATATCCAAACTTTTACATTCAACTGTGTATGTCAATATGTTGCAATCTGTGCACATAGATAAAATATATGTAGTAGTGTGAATATTTATATGGCAAAATTACACACTTGACATATTTTGAAAAATACATGAAAATATATTTCCTTTGCGTAGGAGATTTTGCAAAAAGAAAAAGGGTTAAAAAAGAAGAGCAACAAGAAGTGGTTCTACTAAAAGTGTTTTCGGGTAGGTAAAAAGGAATAACTTTCAAGTGCCATGCAAATACTGTATCTTTTATTAGGTTTTGTACACCATTGTAATATTGTGCTCTGGCGCTCAGTATTGAGAGAGCACTTTCTTGATATTACCTGCTCACTATGGCAACGCTATTGAAATTACAGCTGGCTCTCCATGGCAACACGGCATCCAAAACCCACTCAGCATGGAGCTGGCCCTGGGCTGAGGGAGCCGTGTGAGCTCAACATATGTCATGATGACAGCCAAGAAACAGAAAGGAAAGGGACAATGGGCAGGACGAGGAGAGAGAGACAGAAAGAGAGCAAGAAGCAGAGGGAGCAAGAGAGGGCGTGTGTGTGTGCTGAGGCGAATACAGGCAGCAGATCAGAGCAGTATTGTGTGTGTCATCGTGGTTTGGTGGGGCTTTCCGCTCTGTCCCCACCTTCTGACGAGACACGCGGATTTAACTCTTGCATCCAATTCCATTTCTATCTGTTCCAGTTCAACTGAAGTCCCAGCCCATGAAATCGGAAAGATTGGGGGTATCTCCCAGACCCCAAGCACAATCATTCATCCACTCTCCCCATTCTGACTCGCCGAGGATTGAGATATCTTGTTGCTCTCTCTGTTAAGGTTTGTTTTATAATCACAGGTGTCCCTGATTCACTAGAGGTCAGGGCACATGTACAAACACACTCAGAGGGGGTGACTTTGTTGTCACCAGGCTAATATCCACAACATCTGAAGATTTCATATTTGCTGCTGCCCTGTTCCCATGGTGCTGGAGATTGCTATGGATGACCTTTGACTCTTAATTCTTCATCAGCTGTGTGATTGAACTGCCAATCTGACAGAGGTAAACGCACCTTTCTATTGTACCCCATGCAGTTATTACCTCTCTATCAGGAAATGCTGATCGCATCCTCTGCATGTGAGAACAAGAGAGAGAGAGAGAGATCATAAGGTACACTATGCTTGAGTGACATGCTGAAAGTCAGCTACTAGCATTTTAAGCTCTATCTCATGCATGCTCACTCTTTCTCTAACTACCTCCAGCCAGCTCGCTCTTGATCTCCTTTGTTTTCTATTATATACACACCCACACACTTTCCCTCACACTGTGTCACTTACAGTGCGTAACACACTCCGGTAATGTGCACCTGATTCTGTGTGCTGTGAATGCAGTGGCTGCTGGGTGTTATATGTGCTGAAACTTGTAGGTCTAGGTCCAGATAAATGACTCAAGGCCATGGCAGGATTTCTCTCTGCCTGCTGGAGACAGGCACTGGGCACTGAGGCTCGGATAACAAGCAGCTGAAGGTTGGAAAGAGAGAGGAAAATGTTTTTTCCATTTCATTATACCGAAGGTTCTCCTGTTCTCACAATGAAACTGCGACTCTAGATCTGTTTCCATCACAGAGAATTTTCCTGCTCAAATGTTGCTCTTCGATGGCTCAGGAGACTTAATGGTGATTCTCCTAAAATGCCTTAGGAGAAATAGCATTAAATACTGGAGAGATGAAGGAGAGATGAGAGTTTGGTTGTGGATAAAGAGAATGAGTGTTATTATCTTGGCCAATCTGAGCACAGTATGTGAGTTTACTGGGATCTGTACTGAACCTTAGATGTGAAATTACTGAGGTCTTGTGTTCAGAAGAAACATCTGAGCAAGAGGAGACCTGAGCTAAAGTCTCCTTTGTCTTTCCATCTCATCTCATTGTTGTGTATGTGAAGCTGCAAAAAGTCGGTGTCGTGTGAAAAACCTTATATCTCCATTTTTGTCTTTTTTGTTGTTTTTTTTTGTTTTTTTTAATTTGAGGTGGCCAGTCAGCCTATTGTGTTAAATATTCATGATGAATGGACCAATAGAAATTGTCCAGAATTACATGAAAAAACTCGACTTCCATTCAAAGTTAAGAACGTTTTTTCCTTCTTCTGTCAGGTTAGCATTTTGGAGATGCAAGTTTTTGTTCCAGCAGCAAAATATATGACTAAACTTGCAAACTGCAGATATTAAAGAGATCTGTTTCCAATTTTTCTTTCCTATGGGAAAGAAATTTCTGACACATTAAATTTTGCATCAAAATGCAGTACATTGGAATTTGATTATGAATGCATAATTTAATGCAAACATGCTACAAGCCCAGGGAACACTTAATTTGGAGTGGTCCTTTGTAGATGATTAATAAACTCTTAACAGATTATCAGTAACACATCAACAACATATCAGTGAAGCAGCAGTAGTGAAGCATCTGAATACATTGAAGTAAATATCTTGAAGATGTTCTGTTGACACAATACACACATTAAGTAGATGTATTGCTAATGTGTTACCTTCATTGCACAAAACCTAACCCTTACCCTGGCTCTAATCCTAACCCTAACCTTAAGCTCAACCCAAAACCTAACCCTTACCCTGGCCCTAATCCTAACCCTAACCTTAAACTCAACCCAAAACCTAACCCTAACCCTCATATGTTTTGGACATGTAACTGAGAATGTTTTTTCCATCTAAAAGGACCACTCAAAATAAAGTGTCACCCAAGCCCAACTTCTTGTATTTCTTAAAGAATTCTGTAAGCATTTGAGCACTTTATTAGAGTAAAGTGTAGTGACCCACGGCATCACTTTAAATGTATACAGAAATGGTATTTAATGACATCATGGTGAGCTGTCACTATCACACCTCTTCTGTCCCCCCTAATTATTGCTGCAGCCAGCACAATTCTCACTGGGGAGGATAAATTGCTATTAAGCTTCACCTTGTCCCTGCAATCCATTTGATCAAATTATGGGTGAAAGTCGGAAGGGCGTTTAGGGATACTTCGGAGCTTAGTAAGCATTTATAGTTTGACCAAAATCAAATTTGCCATGCATGCTAACATGGCTAATAAGAAGTGAAAGCTAGTTTCCCTAAATTTGAATTATGCATATTACTTCTAGCGTTCTAGCTCTCACTTCTTAACTTCCTTGACAGAATTTGAATCAAATGTTACTTTAAAATGGGAAAGTTAGTCAGCATTCCTCTGTGTGCGGATTATTGCGTCTCCATTAAACATAGCTCAGTGGCACATCTTTGACCACCCAGCTCTTGCCCATCCATTGTCCTTAATCGCTGTTTCAGGGTCAGTTCTCACAACAGCGTCACCATTAGCTAAGAAAACAAATGTTTGGATCAGTAGGCCAGAAAATAAGGTACCAGATTGCATTTTGGCTGGACTGACGCAGAGCTTACAGTGGTTGGCAACAGGAGCCAGTATATCCCATTTGTATTGTGTACTGCCCTTTGTAGTGATCTGGCAGCTGGCCTAACGTGGGGTGACTTACAAGGATGGCACAATTCAAATCATGGGGACAGTGCAAAATTATCCATGTGCGAAAACAGTCCAGATGAAACGCAGTGTATCTGGCAACATGAGGCAATGACAATTTAGTAATGAGGGGATTAAATTCAGCTCTCCAAAACAGATTTCAGTAATATAAATTGCTTCCTCTTTACATTGTTTGGAATGTGGTAATGAACACTATTAGGTGAGTAGGATCCGATGGGCCGCAGATGCAGGAGCTCCTCTCACCTTCCCCGCCTGCGATGCCCTGCGGAGGCAGACTGCAGCGCTCACAGACGGTTACTGTGATTGGACAGCAGCCTTAACGTGCTCTGGCATCCTCGTTACAGGAGCTGCTTTCTCTCGTTAATTCACTCGCCCGCTCCTGCTCGCCGGCTGGCTGGGTGCTGGGGGCCAGACAGAGGGAACAGGGGAAAGAACGGTGCCAGATTGTATCGTTTGCAGCGCCATTGAATATGCACCGTCCGTCCTCTTGTATGAATTGCTTTTGACATGCTTAGTGAATGTTTGCCCAGACCATCTTCTGCTGCCATCCAGGAATTCACAGTGTCACGCTGTTATTTAAACAAGGGTAACTTCACACACACACATATGCACATCTCTCCTCTCCTTCTCTGATATACAAACACATTTGAAAGGGAACAAAAAGCAATAACCAGTGTTGTTCTCTCATTCGACACAATGTTTCCTTTTGCACCATACATATCGTTTTGTTCTGTCAGCTTTGTATCACTTTGGTAGTACAGGATTTGCTGACTGAGGAGGAGCTTTCCTCTACAGTAGAAGACTGAGCCTGAGCAGTGTGTCAACGGCAGTCTTACTGAAATCAGCGTTTTACTATATACCCAGTTCTAACTTGTCTCTGTAGGTTTTCACCTCAATATGTT